GATTAGGAGGAACTTGACGGAGGAACAAGGGGGAGAAGAAGGGCGGAAATGGTGGGGGAAAGGGAGAGAGGCAAACCATGAGAGACTCTTGAATGCTGACAAAAACTGAGGACTGATGGATGTGGGGGGGGGGGGGGATGGGCATGGAGGAGGGCACTTTGGGGATGAGCACTGAGTGTTATGTAGAAACTAATTTGACAATAAACTATTTGTAAAAAAAAAAAAAAAAAAAAAAAGAAATAAACTTAGCCAAAGTCGTGAAAGACTTTACTTTGAAAACTATAAAACATTGTTGAAAGAAATTCAAGATGATGCAAAGAAATGGAAAGACTTTCCATGCTCATGGGTACGAAGAACAAATATTGTTAAAATGTCTATACTATCCAAAGCAATCTACAGATTTAACGCAATCTCTATTAAATTTTTTCCACAGAACTAGAACAAACAATCCTAAAGTTTGTATGGAACTACAAAACAAAACTGGAGGTATCACAATTCCAGATTTCAAGTTATATTACAAAACAATAGTAATTAAAATAGTATGATACTGGTATGAAACTAGACACATAGATAAATGCAATAGAACAGAAAATCCAGAAAAAAATTCACAATTATATGGTCAATTAATCTTCAACAAAGGAGGAGTGAATATACAATGGAAACAAGATAATCTCTTCAACAAGTGATGTTGGGAAAATTGGACAGCCACAGGCTACACCAAATAAATGCAGTGCATTAAAGACACAAATGTGAGACCTGAAGCCATACAAATCTTTGAAGACAGCACAAGCAGTAATTTCTCTGACCTTGGCCATAGCAACATTTTTCTAGATACATCTCCTAAGGCAAGGGAAATAAAAGCAAAGATAAACTATTGGGGTTACATAAAAACGTAGCAAAGGAAACAACAAAACTAAAAGGCAACCTACTGAATTGGGGAAGATTTTTGCAAATGACATATCCAATAAAGGGTTAATGCCCAAAGTATATAAAGAACTGATATAACTCAACACCCAAAGAACAAATAATCTAATAGAAAAATGGGCATGAACAGATATTTCTCCAAAGAAGACATCCAGATGGTCACAGACACATGAAAAGATGCTCAGCATCATTCACCATCAGGAAATGCAAACCAAAACTACAATTAGATAAAACCTCATACCTGTCAGACTGGCTAAAATCAACAACACAAGAAACAACAGGTATTGTTGAGGATGTGGAGAAAAAGGAATCCTCTTGCACTGTTGGTGGGAATGTAAACTTGTGCAGCTGGTGTGGAAAACAGTATGAAAGTTCCTCAAAAAATAACAAATAGAATGACCCTTTGATTCAGTAATTGCACTGGGTATTTACCCCCAAAATACAAAAACACTAATTCAAAGGGGGATACATGCACCCAGATGTTTATAGCAGCATTATTTACAATAGCTAAACTATGGAAGCAGCCCAAGTGGCCATTGATAGATGAATGGTAAAAAAGATATGGTATGTAACTATACAAAGGAATATTATTGAATCACAAAATATAGTGGAATCTTACCATTTGCCACAGCATTGATGGAGCTAGAGAGTATAATGCTAAATGAAATAAGTCAGCCCGAGAAAGAGAAATACCATACGATCTATCTCATATATAGACTTTAAGAAACAAAACAAATGAGCAAAGGAAAAAAAGAGAGAGAGAAAACCAAGAAACAGACTGTTAACTATGGAAACAAACTGATGGTTACCAGAAGGGAGGTGAGTTGGGGGATGGCTGAAATAGGTAATGGAGATTAAAAAGTAAAAAACAAAACCAAACCAAAAACTCTTAGGAGAACAACTTTCCTAAACCAATTGGAAACCCACATCAGAAAAGAAAGAATTGACTAAAATACAGAAGAAACAGTAGGATACTTATCGATAGAGGAGCAGGCTTGTCACTGGTTATTATTATCCCATCTCATGCCCTTTAGCATATTGCTGCTTAAAACATAAACCATGATAAAAATCTTACAGTTGTGGTTATGCATGAGTGAGCTTTGTGGGCCTTTGTTATATTGACTGGATTAAGTTAAACAGGATCAAACAGTTCTTTGGACTGAGAATTTCTACATTCATTTACTACATTGTGCTTTTAGTAAATCTCATGACCTAAACCCGTATTCCATTTTTCCATTCTCTTTATCTGTAATATCTTTTATTGAGAATAAGGAAAATAATGTTATTTCTATTATGAACAGTATAAACTACTGGATCTGTGGGGTTAAATTTGGTCATTGTTGACAGTCAAAACTTTTTCTTTAAAGCAGCATTGTAATGTGTATTATGTGGCTCAAGCAAATCGCTTGTAAAATAGATACCTTCTTTTTGTTTTTTCTATTAAATGTTAAATTACAAATGAACAATTGTACTTCCAAGTCAATTAGACTTAAAAAAAACTTTTTCACTTCAAAATAGCTTAGAAAATTTTATTCTATATGTTTTTATTTTTAGCAGTACTTTTTTTCATGATAATATATGAAAATTTTTAAAACTAATTTGTATTCCACATATAGAATTTTTAAGTGTCATAAAATAACATTAACTTGAGTTTTTATTGTCTCTGTAGCCTATGATGTTAATTTTTTGTTACATTAATTATTAATGATTTTGCCAAAATACTTATAAATGTTATATAAATATAATTTATGATTCAAATAGATTATATTATTATGGATTAGTACTATATGGTGGATTATTCTAAGGGTAATTAGCATGTATTTGAAATTCAGATTTATAAATCTATTATGGAAGGTTTTAGACATTTATAAAACTAGAGAGATTAGTATAATGAACTCCCATGTACCCATCATCCAGCTTCAACAACTGCCAACATGAAGCAGTCTTGTTTTATCTAGGTCACCTCCCATTTTCTCCCTAGGCCTCAGTATAGTTTAAATTGTTATGTCATTTCATCTGTAAATACTTTAGTGTGCATTTCTGAGAGACAAACACTCTTTTAAAAATGTATATAATCGCTGGACACCTGAGTAGCTTAGTTGGTTACATATCTGACGCTTGATCTCAGCTCAGGTTGTGGTCTCAGGGTTGAAAGTTTAAGCCTCGTGTTGGGCTTCACTCTGTGTGTGAAGCCTACTTGATAAAAAAAAATAAAAGAGTGGAAAATAAGACTAAGAAATATTGAAATCTAGATATAATCATTAATAAAAATATATATAATCACAATACCATTATCATTGCTATGAAAATAAATAATTCATCAATATCACCTAATACCCAATCTGTGTTCAGATTTACTTGATTGCTCTATAAAGGTCTTTTTTTTTTTTTTTAATTTTTTTAATGTTTTTTATTTATTTCTAGGAGAGAGAGAGAGAGAGACAACGTGAGCAGGGGAGGGTCAGAGAGAGAGGGAGTCACAGACTGAAACAGGCTCCAGGCTCTGAGCTGGCAGTCAGCACAGAGCCCGACACGGGGCTCGAACCCACAAACCGCGAGATCATGACCGAAGCGAAAGTCGGACGCTTAACTGACTAAGCCACCCAGGCGCCCCTATAAAGGTCTTTTTATAGACAGTTTGTTTAAATCAGGATCCAAACAAGATCCATACATTATATTTGAACACTTTTTGTCAAGTGTCTATCTCTCATTTTGTAAGTAAACATTAGATTGAAGAATATCATATTACACTAATCAGAAGTGTACAGCTTGATGAATTTTCACATACTGATCACTTCTGTGTAATAGCACTGGGATTAGAAATAGAACATCACTAATTCCCCAGAAGTTCCCTTCATGCTTTCTTCTAGTCACGTCCCCCTACCCTGAGAATAACTGCTATGTTGACTTCTACTTATTATTTTAAATGTGCACTTATTTATTTTGAGAGAGAGAGGGAGGGGGAGAGAGAATCCCAAGCATGCTCTGTGATGTCAGTGCAGAGCCAGACATGGGACTTGATCTCACAAACCAAGATCATGACCTGACCTGAAATCAAGAGTGGACCCCCAACTGACTGAGCCACACAGACGCCCCTGTCTTGACTTTTAATACCATGAATTAGTTTTGTTTTTATAGGAATGGAATCCTATGGTATATACTCTTATGTCTAGCTTAGTTTGCTTAATATGTTTTAAAGATACCCCCATGATGTTGCATGGTTCAGTCATTTGTTCTTTTTTATTGCTGTGTAGTATTTTGTGAATATGTACAATTTATCCAGTGTACTTTTGATAGATATTTTGATTGTTTGCAGTTTTTTAGTCATATATTGTGCTGCTGTGGACTTTCTTCTGCTTATCTTAGTAAATGGAGAGTCTTGTTTTTTTTTTTCCTCAAGAGTCTTAAAATCTATAACAATTCTCCTTTCCTCTCTGTTGTCTTGCCACTTGTTGAAGAAATAGAATTATTTTTCATATAGAAAAATTCTGGGGGCGCCTGGGTGGCTTAGTCAGTTAAGCGTCTGACTTTCGCTTAGGTCATGATCCCAAGGTTTGTGGGTTCGAGCCCCGCGTCGGGCTCTGTGCTGACTGCCAGCTCAGAGCCTGGAGCCTATTTCAGAGTCTGTATCTCTCTCTCTCTCTGACCCTCCCCTGCTCACGCTGTCTCTCTCTCTCTCTCTCTCTTCCCTAGAAATAAATAAAAATATATAAAAAAAAAAAGAAAAGAAAAATTCTGGAGTTTTTAACAACATTGTTGTAACAGTGGCTGTTCTGTTAATGTTCAACCTAGTGTTGAAATTGTTCTGTCACCTCAAAAACTTAAGTGACTCAAATAATTTTGTGATTTTTCCCTTTTAAAAATCTTCCAATAGTATCTGACTTTTTAATTGTTACTTTTATAATAACAAATAATCAACATTTTAGAAACATTCCTTTTATATTAATAATGTGTGAGTATATTAATAATGTGTGAGTAGTATATTAGTACTTTTGATTGCTTTTTATTTTATAACTGTATTGTGTTTTAAGTGAAAGAAAATAGTAATGATCTCCTTTGTATATTTCCTTTCATAGGTTTGATATTAATGTGCTATCAAAATTTTCCCTTTGCCTAGCAAATCAACATTTATATTTCAGTCCATTAATGGGAAAAATAGCTGATATTGTACATAGGAAATTGGAAACCACAGAGGACTTAAGGTAAATTTATTTAAGGTTCTGGGCTTTGGATGCATGCACACTTAGATTGCCACTTCTTACCTATGTGACTTTAATCTCTTAAAACTTTAGTATCCTTATTTATACAATAGTACTACTGGGGCGCCTGGGTGGCTCAGTCAGTTAAGTGCCTGACTTTGGCTCAGGTCATGATCTCGTGGTGTGTGAGTTCGAACCCTGCGTTAAGTTCTGTGCTGACAGCTTGGAGCCTGGAGCCTGCTTCAGCTTGCCTCGCGCCCCCCGCCCCCCTGCCACCCATCTCTCTCTCTCTCAAAAATAAATAAATATTTAAAAAATTTAAAATAGTACTACTTTGGACCTACTTTGCAATGTTGTTGTGGGAAATAGAGATGAAGTGTGTAAAGTGTAACATATTTACAAGTGTATTGTTGAGATCTGTGAAAGATTTGAGATTTCACTTTACTTGCAAGCTAACAAGGTTGCCTGCCCCCAATGACCTCATTCAGCCTTAATTATCTTCCCAAAGACCCTGTCTCCAAATATAGTCACATTGGAGGTAAGACTTTAATATATGGGGGGAGGAGGACACAGTTCAGTCTATTGCATATATCAGTGTTCATAGCATTAGTTTGAATAGTCAAAATGTAGAAATAATCTAAATGTCTATTAATTGATGAATAGACAATCAAAATGTAGTATATACCTACAATGGGATATTATTTAGCCTTAAAAAGGAAGGAAATTCTGACACATGCTACAACATGGATGACATTATACTGAGTGGAATAAGCCAGACACAAAAGGACAAATATTATGATTCCACTTATATGAACTCCTAATATAGTCAAATTCATAAAAAAGAAAGTAGGATGGTTATTGCTAAGGGCTGGCAGGAGTGAAGAATTAAGAGTTCCTGTTTAAATGGCTAAGGAGTTTTAGTCTGAGAAGATGAAAAAGTTCTACAGGTGGGTAGAAGTTGCACAGGTGGTAATAGTTGCACAACAATGTGAATATATTTATTACCACTGAACAGTATGCTTAAAAATGTTTCAAATGGTAGTGGCACTTGGGTGGTTCAGTTGGTTAAGTGTCCGAGGTCGGCTCAGCTCATGATCTCACCATTTGTGGGTTTGAGCCCCACGTTGGGCTCTGTGCTGATAGCTTGGAGCCTGGAGCCTGCTTTGGATTCTGTGTCTCCTTCTCTCTGTCCCTCTCCTGCTTGTGCTTTGTCTCTCTGTCTCTGTCTTTCTCTCTCAAAAATAAACATTAAAATAAAGTGTTTACAATGGTATATTTTATGCTGTCTCTATTTTCACGCCCATACACCAAAGTAACTTGTAAAAGCAGAGACAATAAAAATCAGTGTAGATTTTTTTTAAGTTTAAAAAAATCCCTATAGACTCCTTTGAGAATCTAATGAAATCTTTGAATATTTCCCTACTGCAAACTGCAATTACAAATAAATATACAATTTAAAAAAATCATTTCAGAGGGTTTTATGGTTAAGCGAAATAGCAATGATAGGTTACTAATGTTAGCATTAAACATTTGAGTAGGTAAGCCAAAGATTGTACAACTGGGTTTTTAAATTTAATTTAAAGTTTTAAATTTTAGTTTATTTATATTTAAGAGAGAGAGAGAGAGTAAATTGGGGAGTAGCAGAGAGAGAGGGAGAGAGAGAATCCCAAGCAGGCTCCACACTGTCAGCAAATAGCCCAATGTGGGGCAAGAGTTGGATGCTTGAGCCACCCAGGCACCTCACAACTGGGTTTTTAAGATATATTTGTTTTATTGAAAATGTTGAAGAAATTTGGAAACAAAAATAAATGTAGACAATCCTCCTATCCTAATGGTTGAGATAGTTTTATATTCACATTTTAATCTTTTCTGCTGATGTTTTCTAATTATCATCCCCAAACGTTTGTTACAGGTCTTTTCTATTTTACATTCCTTATTCATTATGGGTGCATTATGATGATTTACATTTGTAGTTTTCTGATTTTTTTTTATTTTTTAAAGAAGGTCCCACACCCAGCATAGAGCCCAAGGCTGGGCTTGAACTCATGACCCTGAGATGTAGCCCCCAGCTGAGATCAAGAGTTTGACACTTAACTGATTGAGCCACCCAGGCTCAGTTTTTGTATTGTGTAAAACCTCCGTTTTGAAAGCAAACTTCACCTTTGTAATTTTGATGTCTTCCTCAGTGACTGGAAGAGTTGCTTATGTTCCTTAAAAGTATTTTTTGGTGAAGAAATAGTAAATGCTGCCTGAAGTTCAATACTTATTGTGATATATTACTGTCTACATAGCATGAGATATTAAAAAATAGGAAATAATTTATTAGTAAGAAATATTTTGCCAAGTGTTTTTTAGTAAGTTACAGATATACAGAGAAAGGAGCGACAAAGTGAAGTCTACTCTCAAAAATATAAAATGAGACTTTTAATGGTGCATTCATGGACAGTTGGTCCAAAGTTATTTCTGAGTGAATTTCCCTAAAATACTTTACTTCAAGGCAGTTATTATAGGATGAAATATTATACACACTCAACAAAAAAATATTATTTCAATGTTTTTTTTTTTTTTAAATCTAAAGGCATTTAATTACTAGGAGACCTGTGTTCAAATCCCATAAGTAAAGGAAAAATTTTGTGGTATAAAACCTGTAATATTTTAACTAGTTCTTTTCCATATTTTATCATTTAGTCTTAGAATTATTTTTTATTCTTAATTAATGTAAATCTTTGCATTTGTTTCCTTTTTAGGTCCTTGTCTATACTGATGGTCAACATATCTTCTTTAATATCACAACGTTTTCAAGACCAATTAGTGAAGAAAACAGAACATCTTTTTGATGCCATAGATTCTTCCCAGGTCAACGTTGCAAGAAGAATAGTACAATTTCTTCGAAATATTAAATATAGTTATTACCCACTATTAGAAAGGTGTAATACGGTGTTTTTAAGCAATATGAATGACCTTGATTTGGATTCCATCAGTAAAATACTTAGTCTATACTACTCTCTACAGTTTCATAGTTTTGAATTTATCAAAATGGCTAAAAAGAGGCTAACTGAAATGATTCCTCTGTCCGATCACCCTGATAGCTTTGTAAAACTGTTTGTAGCATTGGGACCCATGGCAGGACCTGAAGAAAAGAAACAGTAAGTTCAGCTAAAAATGCTTTATTTTTCTTGTTGAGACCCTATGAGATCTTGCAAGCTTAGACCTCCTTGCAGTCTGGAAGGCACAGGTGTCATCCCATACAGTCCTGGAATGGAGATATCTCTTATATCTGCTCCTTGATTCTTTCTCTTGTTATTGTAATTTACATCTCTAATTCTTAGTCTTACTGCCACATTCTGAGAAAGGACCAATAACTTCCTGGTGGTGGCCAACACAAAGGATGAGGGCAATGGATATTCTCTGTGGAGAATACCATTTAAGTGCTTTTATTCTCCCTTCCTGGGCCATATGATAGGCTTTACACACAGGTATAAGACTCTCCCACCCCGGGTGTGGAATATTCAGAATTATATTAGTGCTAACAGCGGACCATTCTCTGGTTTGTGGTCCTCATATTTGTTATCAAAGGCATTTTTTAAGCACCTTGGTAAATGTTCCCTTGTCAGGTTGGAATGAATTTTATCTGTCTCCTATCTTTTAAGAATTTCCAGTTTTGCCTGATGCTGATGTAGGTAGGACTATTTGGAATATAAAGATGAGCAAACAGTAAGTTAATGCATGATTACTAGGTATGAGCAAAGAGATAAGTATGATTAGTAGGTTCAGTTAAGCAGGGGTTCTAGGAGTTGCATAATAGAGGTATCTACATCATTACTCTGTTAGCAAAGGATACAGGGAGAGTTTTAATTTTAAGAGTCCTTTGAGTTATATGAAAACATTTAAGGATACATTTTAAGAGACTGTATGAAGATGGGAACAAGGTGATTACTTAAATAGCTTTTATTGGAATTTTATTATTTATTTATTTAATTTTTGGTCACTAAGTACTATTGGAATCTCATATTCTAAAGCAGTACAGAAGTTGAATTTAACTGAGTCTCTGCCTTCAAGGAGTTTATATTCCAATTGGGAGGCTAGAAATGTGTATACAATTTAATTGCATAAATACCATGACAGCGCAATATAGTTATGAATAAGTACTCAAATTAGTGATAAAGATAGTAGACAGGAAAATGAGAGAAAAATGTGGACATAAATGGCTGGGAAAAGCTTTGAGGGGAAGTTGGGTTTGAAAATGTTTGAAACGGTTGATGAAAAGGATGGCGTAGAGCTATCCAATATGAATAATTCTAAATTATTCTAAAAGATACAGTTATAAATAGGTAGTTGTATTAGTGCACAATTTTGGATGGTTTCAAAATGGATCATCTTTGTAAATTTTCAGTTTATAATGTCACAGTAAGTATTTGGTGGGTAAGATTTCTGTTAATATGCAGGTATAGTGACTTCCTGCTCAAATCTTACTCAATTAATGGCGATATTGTTAAAATGTCAGTTTTTAGTTCTTTAGCTCTGTAGTCCTGAATAATTTCACTGATTTGTTATGTTTTATAATGATTGTAACTTTATCTTATTTGAAAATCAATTTAAAAACCTTTGTCTGTTTTTTAAGAGACAGTTTAAGATTAGATTGAACTGAAGCCTTAATTCCTTTGATGAAAACAATGTATTTTTCTTTATTCAATAATATTTATGTTATCCCCCATTATGTGGGGAGAAAATTGGAATTATGTATAGAATTCAGTTTTTGTTTCTATTTCTTTCTATTCATTACCTAAGAACTGTTATTAAAAAAAAAAACAGTAAGTTCATAGGGTAATCATCAGTTATTCAACATAAATATATTTCTCTTTGCTTCTAGACTTAAATCAACTATATTATTGATGTCAGAGGAGCTAACCAGTCAGCAAGCCTTGGCAGTGGTGGGAACAATGGAAGAGATGGCAAGCAGAAATTCACATCTGAATAAAAAGTAGTCTTTCCTGAAATTCATGGCATTATGTCTAGTTGTCATTCATAAGTAACTTTTATTTTAAGGATGCCTTATATTTCTTTCTATAATTAAGCTGTTGGTTTTGAAGAAATAAGGATTTAACACGTAAGACATTGTTAAACAGCTTGTTTTTTTTTTTTTAAATAGCTTGTTTTTTAAAGTAGATATTTTTAAATTGTCTATAGTATTTTTCATTTCATCTGCTACTATTGTTATTCTCAAGCCAGACCATTATAGTCTAGGAAAGTGGAGGGCATCTGTGTGAACTTGAATTGTTTCACACCACAGTTGTTACCTTGAAATCATATCTCCATATATTGTCTTTTTTTTACTTGAAAAGTAAGAAGAAAAAAAACCACATAGTTCAGACTGTATATACTTAATGTTTTATTATCAATTATATGTTCCTTTAAAAATATTTTTATTTATTTTTGAGAGAGACAGTGAGAGATAGAGAGAGAGAGAGAGTGACAGAGCATGAGTGAAGAAGGGGCAGAGAGAGAGAGGGAGACACAGAATCTGAAGCAGGCTCCAGGCTCCGAGCTGTTAGCCCAGAGCCTGATGCAGGGCTTGAACTAACAAGCTGTGAGATCATGACCTAAGCCAAAGTCAGACGTTTAACTGACTGAGTCACCCAAGCACCCCTGTATGTTCCTTTTTAAAGTATTTCTTCTGCCCCATTTCTTGGGGCATTTCTCATTGCTTTTAATCAGTTCCATTAGAGGACCAGTGGATTTAAGGTAGAAAATTAAATCAGTTTTGCTAATTGTTAGTAAATATTGGTAAAGATTTCTTTGTGGGATAGATGTGGAATTTGATGGCTGTTTTGTGTTTTTTTATTTAGAAAGTGAAACTTTATGCTTTTCCCTCCATTATTTGTAAAATGTTTATTTATTTAATTTTAGAGGAGAGAGAGAGAGAGAGAGAGAGAATATTCCCACACAAGTGGGGAAAAGGCAGAGAGAGAGGGAGAGAATCCCAAGCAGACTGCCCTGTCTGTCAGTGTAGAGCCTGACATGGGGCTCAAACTTACAAACCATAAGATCATGACTAGAGCCAAAATTAAGAGTTGAACACTTAACTGATTAAGCCACCGAGGTGCCCCCCTCCTCTTAATATTAATAATTAAATATTATTTTATTCACACTTCATTGATAGCTCTTATATCATTCTATTTTATTGTTTACATTTCTTTTTTTTTTGAAATATTTTATTTATTTTTGAGAGAGAAATGGAGACAGCAGGGGAGGGTCAGAGAGAGAGGGAGACACAAAATCCAAAGACAGGCTCGAGGCTCGGAGCTAGCTTTAGCACAAGGCCCAATGGGGGGCTCGAACACATGAACCATGAGATCGTGACCTGAGCTGAAGTCAGACACTTAACCGACTGAGCCACCCAGGTGCCCCTATTGTTTACATTTCTATCACCTTGAGACAGCTGTGCAAGAATAGAAAACCTTATTTCACTCATTGCTCTCTTTAGCACAGTGTGTGCCTGGTATGAAAGAGCTTCTCAGTAAATGTTTAATAAATAAATGAATGAATTGATTATACATTTTATCATTCATTTTAGGATTGCTTCAATTCTGCATAAACATTTGGATAACTATAAACCAGTAGAGTTATTGAAGATAACTCGAGCACTGGTTTTTCTCCATTTTCAAAGTAAAGAGCTGTTTGTGAAACTCAGAGAATTACTGCGTAGGTAAGGTTAAAATCAAAGTGTTTATTTATTTTACAATCTAGACTCAACATTTGTTTTGCTTGATTATGTAGAGAATTGTTGGAACTTTTGGAGGCAGAATAAAGTGGCTTATTATTTAAAACATTAACACACTTGTTTCCTCCAATGCCCATTTTGCAAATGCTCATGCTTGGTATATTTTGAATGGAAGCCAGTAGGATGAGGGTTTCCCTTGGGCATGAATAACAGCAAAAGCTGAGGCGTTTTCCTTTTATGCAGGAGTGGAATAACTAGGAAAAATTGGAGTTGCCCATCAAGGCAAAACTTTATATTTAGGGGCCTTCAGTCTACTTACTTGCCTATTTTACTGCATGTTAGATTTTTTTTTTTGTAATGTTTTATTTATTTTTGAGAGAGAGAGACAACGTGAGCAGGGGAGGGTCAGAGAGAGAGAGGGAGACACAGAATCTGAAGCAGTCTCCAGGCTCTGAGCTAGCTGTCAGCACAGAGCCTGACACGGGGCTCGAACCCACAAACCATGAGATCATGGCCTGAGCCGAAGTCGGACGCTTAACTGACTGAGCTACCCAGGCGCCCCGCATGTTAGATTGTTTTAAGGCATATTAAATGTTTTAATTTCTAATTTTTAAAATAAGATATTAAGAGTAATGTTACCTAAGAAAGCATTTTTGTATTGCACTTTAACACTTTCTGCTTTTCTATGGATATCACATTAATATTTCAAGTAGGAAGTTAATCAGTTTTCCATTGATGTTTATGGAAATGGACTCAAAATGGAATTTTCCATTAAAATTTTTTTTTATTTTACCATTCAGAATAATGTCTTGAGTGAAACTAAAACTAGATTAATCTTTTCTGTACTATTTGATTTAGTTTGGGATTCCTGGAAGACCAGACATGGGATTCTATGCCATAATCAAAATTTTATTATAATAAAGGGATATGCCATTAAGGTTAAGAAGGATTTAAACTGAAGAATAGAAGGTGGCACTTTATCAGGTGAAAATTTAGCTTATTAGGTATGTTAGTAGAAAGTTCAGTCTTCTCTTGAAGAAATAACTTCCTTCTTATCAAGGTATTTATATGCAGGATTATTGTTTCCTCACCCTTTTGATATTTAGCATGGACTTTTATATAACCTCTGAATGAAGAATTTTATGTTCTAAATTATCATAAACTGGCCCAGGGACATGATTTGGTCTGCACAGTGTTTTTTAAACAGTTAAATTACACAATAGTGTTTGCCTATAGGTATGTTAACAGAAAAATAAGAGCGTAAGTGGGAACGTACAAGGGAATTCTACTTTACCTGTGATGTTTTATTTCCTTTATTGAATGACTTAAAGCAGATATGACAGTGTTAAAATTTAGTAATTCTGAGTAGGGATGGCTCTGTGTTTAAAATTTTATCAAAAACTTAATAGGGGGATGTTGTATGGAAATCACAGGTGCTCACTTTCCCCTATTTCAGTGCAAGCAATGTCAAGTAGCTATTAGAAGGAACACAATTTAATTAAACTGTTCACATAAATGTTTATATAAATAGCTCCTGAAACCATTCAGGGAACACAGGGAATTCATATACTAAAATAATATGGGTTTTTGGTGGTTTTTTTAAAACTATATTGAAATGTAATATACATTCCTCCTCATTACTCTGCTTCCCCTGTTCCCCAAGTTAATTACTACACTTAGTTGTAACTGCATGGATTAGTTTTGCCTATTTTGTGTCTGGCTTCTTTTAGCTCAGTATTCTGTTTATGAGATTTACCTATGCTTTTGTTGTATGGTATTCTCTTTGTAAGAATATAACCATATATATATATATATTTAATTTATAACCATATATATAAATATATATATATTTAATTTATTTCTGAGAGAGAGAGAGAGACCGCGTGAGAAGGGGAGGGTCAGAGAGAGAGGGAGACACAGAATCTGAAACAGGCTCCAGGCTCCGAGCTAGCCATAGCAGAGCCCGATGCAGGGCTTGAACCCACTAACTGTGAGATCATGACCTGAGCCGAAGTTGGCTGCCTAACCGACAGAGCCACCCAGGCGCCCCAAAAATATTTTTATTCATTCTGCATGTGATGGATGTTTTGTTTCCAGTTTGGGGCTGTTATGAATAGTGCTGTTATGGGGTGCCTAGGTGGCTCAGTTGGTTAAGCGGTTAGGCGTCCGACTTCGGCTCAGGTCATGATCTCATGGTTTGTGGGTTCGAGCCCCATGTTGGGTTCTGTACTGACAGCTAGCTCAGAGCCTGGAGACTGCTTCTGATTCTGTGTTTCCCTCTCTCTCTGACCCTCCCCTGCTCATGCTGTCTGTCTCTCTCTCGAAGAAATAAATTTAAAAAAAATATATAAAAAAAGAGTAGTACTGTTATGAATATCCTCATACATATCTTTTAGTAGACATATATATGCACTTCTGTAGATATTTACCAAGGAGTATAATTGTTGGTTCATAGATTAAATATATTTTCATCCTCAGTAGATCCTGTAAACGGTTTTCTAGAGTGGCTGTACCAGTTTATATTCCCACCAGCAGAATATGAGCATTCCTATTCCAGGTCCTGCCAACCCTTGTATATTTTTATTTTCTAATTTCAACCATACTGGTGGGTATGTGGTGGTATTGTAAGTGAACATGCATGCGCATGTAAGTTTTAGAATTTGAGGTAATCTTTCCAGGAAAAATGTCAAGTGGAGGTTGAAGAGATTGTATCTGTTGGGAGTTTACTTTTAGTCAAGTATCACAAGATTGGAAAATATTGAGAGTTATCTCCCAGGTCAGTTCTGCCAACAGATACAGCTTTGGGGGCTTTCTTTCTTTACATAAAAGGGTGTATTTATTTTTCATGGTTATAAGAATAAAATATTCATTTAGTACTAATTAAATACCTACTTTGTGTCAGGAACTGGGCCAAACATTATCTAACAATTATTTTGGAAATTTTGGAAAATAGAAAAAAGTATAAAGAAGAAAATAAAAATCATTCCTAAACTCATTCAGCCACTGACAACAGTTTTGTTTATTATTTGTGATATATACTTATGTGTGTGTGTATAAAAGTTTTTTTCCCTCTTAGTTGAGAATGCAGTTTTGTACTTTTTCCCCCACTTAGCCTTACCCACTTAGCATTTTCTCACATCATTTAGAACTAGTCATAAATCTTTTTTATGACTGGAGATTATATGATTGCACCATAATTCACTTAAGTGTTCTCTCATTGAATATTTAGTTTTCAAAATTTAGGCGTGTAAAAATATAATGAATTAATGTAACACAAATCTTTGCTAGCATCTTGTTTATTTTTCTTTCATAATCCTATATATTTAAAAAATTTTTTAAATGTAATGTTTATTTATTGAGACAGAGACAGAGACAGAGATAGAGAATGAGTGGGCGAGGGGCAGAAAGAGAGGGAGACACAGAATCCAAAGCAGGCTCCAGGCTCTGAGCTGTCAGCACAGAGCTCTAACACAGCACAGGGCTCTAACCCATGAACTGTGAGATCATGACCTGAGCTGAAATGACTGAACCACTCAGGCACTCCTACAAAAAATTTTTTTTAAATTGAAGTATAGTTGACATTGCCCACATTTTAGATTATTTTTTTAGTCTAGTTTCCTAGACTATCATTGACCATGTCAAACGATATAATTGCTTTTTAGGTTTAAAATGCTTGTGTCGATGCACCCTTGCTAGCATTGACTATTATGATTATTTTAATATGCTAATTTAATACTATAAAAAGTAGCTCAACAACTTTAATTCAGATTAGATTTTTCCTTCTAGTATGTCTAAGCCAAAAGATTCTTTATAGCTCTCAGTTTTTTATTTGCAACTTAACAACTGCTGTCCTGGTGGCAGGAATCTTACTTTGGGGGAGTAAGACTATTACCATGGGAATTTGGAGAAAAAGGAATAGAAAATGGGGTCACTTGTATGTTCTGTGTTTTCTGTGTTTTTAAGGTTGGACTTCCTACATAGCAGAAGTGGAAAGGGAACTAGTGTTACTAAGTGATCACAGTATGGCAGGGCCTGTACTAGGTCACACCGGCTCCTGACAGGTCAGGTCAAACACTGAGCCCAAATCTGTTTCAAGCAACAGCAGTGGAAACATTGTTCTGACACTGAACTTTGGTTTGCTAGGAACTATGGTCTCATTTTTGCGTAAAATATTTAGGATGTGCCTTAGAAAAATCTTAAGACTTCTCTTAGTAAACTTTTGTGGACCTGTCATCTTTGAATGTATCTTAAACTAACTTGTATTTTAAGCCTGCAAACCTGATAATTATAATAATGATTATATATTCAAACTTTAAATATACTTCATTTTTGTTGCTGATTTATTGATTTTGTTCATTTCATTTTATCCCCCTTCCTTTATAGGCATTTGGAAATGAGTGTTACTGCTAGTGAGATTTCTGTCCTGGTCTCTGCCCTTTCTCTTCTTCCATCTCCTCACCTAGATGAGGTGGGAATATCTCGAATTGAAGCAGTTTTACCACAGTGTGACCTAACTGACCTGAATGGTTTCGCCACATCTGTTCTAAGATGGATTCATTATGATCGCACATATCTGGAGAATACTACTGGGAAACAGCTGAAACTACTTCAAAAACTAGATCACTATGGACTTCAGAGACTACAAAAATGCACCAATTTGAATCTGTTATGGAAAGAACTTAAATCTTTAAAAGGAGACTGGTTTGCTGAGTCACTTCTTGAAGAAGCAGTTGCTGCTTTACATCGTTTGATGGATGAAATTAATTACAAAAATGTTGCTGAGATTGCATCTTTTATATCGAAAACTAACTACCTCAGTACTTTGCTACTTGATAGGATTGCTTCAGTGGTCCGTCAGCAGATTGAAAAGGTGAAATTGAGTTTTATATAGTTGTCCATTTCTAAAAACATAAATGTTTATCATAAGTATTTTGAGAACTTAATTGGAATTTGAAGATTAAAAATCAAATTCTAGTGTCTGGTTCTGCAATTTGTTCCTCCTCTAAAGTTTCTTCCTCCAACAGTGTAGATTTGAGGAGGTTAGCAGTTATCTTTTGGTTCACTACAATATTTTCAGGGTCTGTAGTCAAGTTTCATTGTATAGAAGGAAATACTTAATAGTAATTGTATTAGGAAAGTGGAGTATGAATGATTTTTGTTTTCTTTTTTCTCTAATCCTGTGATATTACTTTTACTAAGAATGACTCCATTCAAAAGCATAAGTGTGAAAAATGAGAAAAATATAAGGTGTACATTGATTTGTGTATTTTTAAATTGTCAGTGTGTTTTCTTAAAAATTTATTTCTGGAACTTGTAAAATGTTGCTTTTTGGATTATGTGAGAAGAAACTCGCTTATTAAAATCTTGCTTATATCTAATAAGGCTTTTACTTATGAGATAATATTTCTCTCAAATTAAAATAAAAATCTATTGTACCTGGCAGTCATTAAGTTTTGGATGAATGAATTAATAATGAAATTAAAAAATTAATCAATGAGGGGCGCCTGGGTGGCTCAGTTGGTTAAGCATCCGACTTCAGCTCAGGTCATGATCTCACAGTTTGTGGGTTCGAGCCCTACATCGGGCTCTGTGCTGATGGCTCAGAGCCTGTTTCAGATTCCGTGTCTCCCTCTCCTTCTGCCCCTTCCCCACTCATTCTCTGTCTCTCAAAACTGAATAAGTGCTAAAAAGAATTAAAAAATAAAAATTTAAAAGAATTAATCGATGAAAGAGAAATAAACTCTAATGATTATAATATAATTAATTTCCTTAATTATATTATGAGTCTATGTAATGTCCTGATATGATGGAAATTAGTGATACTGTTTCCTATTCATTTTAATGACTAATGAATCCTGGAACAGGATTTTATACCTAAGAAAATTAATTTGCAGATTATCTGATTAATTTTTTTCTGCATTGAATCTTAGAGTTACTAGAAACCAGTGGTAGGATTAATAATTAATAAGCAGTGCTGCATTTATCATTTTAGTGTAGGCATGTTCATTTAACTATGGGCATGTTAGAAAAAGATGTCTACCCAAAAATGATAATTAGGTTAAAATTTCATTTTGTTTTACTGAAGTTTAAACTATAACATTTTGTTGTGTTTATACAGATCCACCCTTTTGCGATCCTTGCTATTATTCTTCCATTTAGCATCTTGAACTATGATCCACCTCAAAGTGATGAATTTTTTGGAATTTGCATTCAACATCTGAATTCTCACTTAAGTAGGTATACTGTTTGGTAGTACATTGAATAAGTAGGGTGCAGGATACCATTGCCACTGTGGTAAGAGATATCCTTCATTTAAGGGACAACCATAACAGCCATGAGTTCTAGACCTAAAAAAAAGTTTGTACCCATTGTGGAAACATTTTTATTATGAAAAAATGTCAAACTTGAAAAAATGGAAAGAATCAAAGAGCCTCTATGTACTCAGTGGGCAGATTCAGTAATTGTTAACATTTTATCATATTTGCTTTACTATTTCTTTCTCTTGCTGTCTTATTTTTTTTCAGAGCCATTTAACAGTAAGTTGTAAGCGTTGTGACCCTTTGCCCCAATTGCTTCAGCATATACCTCCTGAGAATAATGACCTTTTCACCACAATACTATTATCACACCTAAGAAAAGAGTAGTCCCTAATGTCTAATACACAGTCCGTGGTTCCCCAAATACCCTTCAGAGTGGTTATTTTGGACCCAGGATCTAATCAAGGACAACCCACTGCATTAGAATGATACCTCTTTAGTCTCTTATAGTCTAGATATTCAGGTTTTTTATCTTTCTCTTGTCATTGACTGATACTATGATATGAGAACCGTGTCTGAGACTACTTTGTCTGCAAATAGGCAAGTAAAATGGGCTGTTGTGACATGTATATATTTAGCCATGAATGGACGTATGCATATGTGGCATTTCACATATACCCGTTTTTAGTAATGGAACTATATGTAGAAAGAGGAGACTTGAATCTGAGACTTAGAGTGTGCTCTCCTGGTTGTTCAGTCTTGAATCAACAACCAGAAGGAAATGAAAGCACATCCTTTTAATAAATAAATAAATAAATAAATAAATAAATAAATAAATAAATAAAAAGGTTTAAGAGAAGAAAGATTGAGAAATATAGCTTTGGTTTTTGAAGACTGCTAAGAGAATGTTTGGAACATTCTGAGAGGCCTTTATAAGTAAAATTTTAAATAATGGTGTGATAATTTTATTTTGAACAAATATCATTTTGACAGGTTACTATTAACCTCATTTACAATTTGATTTTGATTTATTAAATAGACTCAGCAAAAAAAAATCCAGAAGAAAAGGTTTAACATTTTTGTTGTCCTTTCTAAGAATATTGCTGCCAGTAGGGACTCCTTCCTTCTCATCAGAAATGTCTCTTGGATGAGGCAAATCAGCTAAATAACCTCAATCTTGTAGTCTGGGACATGTGCCATGCTTTTGGGGGACAGGAAAGGGAGGAGGTGCTATATGAAACCTGAGCTTCACATGTGTCTACACTCAGCTTGGATATTTGAGATCCCTACAGAGCAGCACAGTATAGTAATCCGGCCTCCGCTTGCTGCTGTTTGACTTTAGGCAAGTCATTTAACTTCTCTGTGCCTCTGTATACTTATTAACAAAGAAGAGATAATAATTGTTCCTGCCATATACTGAGGTGAGATTTCAATGAGTTAATATATATATAAAGTTCTTGGAATGATACCTAACACATTCTCTCTTATTTAAGTTTATTTATATATTTTGAGAGAGAGAGCATGTGCACACACAAGCAGGGGAGAGGCAGAGAGAAAGGGAGGAGCCCAGTGTAAGGCTTGATCTCATGACTGCGAGATCATGACCTGAGCAGATATCTAGAGTCGGTGGCTCAACCGAGCCAGCCACCCAGATGCCCCAATACCTAACACATTCTGAGCAATATCATATTGTTATCATCAATTTATAAAGAGTAGGATCACTTTTTACACACACTATTGGCCTTTGGTTTTGAATTCTTTCTCTTTTCAAAGCCACTTAAAACACTTTTTATGGAAGTAAAATAATAATAATACAGGAACATTTACATATCCTTAGCATGTAGTATGAATTCATACAAATCGAATCACCCAAGGAATATGACCCAGGTGAAGAAAGTGTTCCCACAGTATCCTTCTCTCGTGTCCCCCTTTCCTCCTCTATACCTACCCAAAGGTAAGCAGTTCACCACTATCCTGTCTCATAACAGTATAGATTAGTTTTGTCAAGGCTATGTTTGTATTAAAAAAAAAAAAAGCTGTGTTTGTATTATTTTTTAAAAACCTGGTTTGACCTGAATAAAATGTGTACTTATGTATATGTGAGGTGGCTGTACATTATAAATTTTTTAATGTTAATTTTGTTTTAGGTGTAATGGATCCTCTCGTGTTAGTGTTTCTTGGTTACTCTTTGGCCATACTTGAATATTTTCCAGAAGATCTGCTGCAGACTATTTTTAATATCAAATTCTTAGCCAAACTGGATTCTCAACTTCAACGTATGTATCTACAATTTATCAAATTATTACTTGTATTTTACATCCAAGTTTCAACCTTACCCCTACTGAAGCACTTAAATGTTAATATATGTCTTTCTGTTTATAAAAAATTTCCTGCTTCTTGCAGAAAACGTGGAAAACAGAAAAGTATAAAACCAAAACTAAAAGATTACTTGTAATCGTACCACCAAGTGAAACTACCACTTTAAATAATGGGTTGGAGTGTATCTTTCTTTTCTGCCTCTCTTCAACTCCTATGTGTATATTTATGTATCTATGTATTTTAAAACAAAATTTGGATTATTTATATATTCACTTTTGTATGTTTTCTTTGGTCATACTTTTTGGAACTATTTTACATATATTTTGGAACTATATTTTGAACAGTTCTGCATTAAGTATTTTTTGATGGCATGATTTTTTTTAGTGTCTATATAATCTGTCATGATATGAATGTGGTAACATTTGTTATGATGTAAGTTGTTTCCAATTCTTCATTATTATAAATAACAATTGTTATACATGAATTGTTGACCTGATCTGTGTTTCTTTAAGATAGGTTCCTAAAGTGAAACATTAGGTCAATGAAAATTCTTTAGTAGTATTTTTAAAAATGTAGTTCTAATATTTGTGATTACTGAAGACGACATAGGAGTTGTTCCTAACCATGCCACTGATTAATTTAAAAATATAAAGCATGTGTGTGCAAATGAAATGATCTTATGAGAATAAAAATACTAACAAATAATGGGGATAAATGAATGTGAAAAACCTGTCAAAATCCATTAATATTTTGTGTTTGCTTTCAGTTTTGTGTTCATCTCTAAATATGAGGGTCCAGTTACGTCTTATGGAATTAAATAGAGCAGTCTGCTTGGAGTGCCCTGAATATCAGATTCCATGGTTCCATGACCGTTTCTGCCAACAACAGTATAATAAAGGTTTGAGTTTTCTTTGGGTCAGACAGCAAAGTTTAATTCCAAAGTTAACTTTAGGCAGTACCTTGCTAAGCCTAACCATGACACCAGTGTTGCTGTGAGTACCATGACCTGTTTAAAGGAACCATTTGGTAGGTAAGATTTGTGTTAGAAGAATTTCTTAATATGTAGGACCCTAATCCTCTTTTAGTAGAAAACACAGAACTTGTATTGTTCTGATTTTAATATCGTTGCATATGGTATTATACTGAAGCTCTTGTTGAAAATACTAATCTCTGTTTTTCAGTTTGCAGAATTGGGATGATTTTCATTAAAAAATGGATTAACCTATTTTAAGTGAAGTAATTATTTTTATTTTCATAAAGATATTGGCAGCATGAATGGAGCACAACAGCAGATTTATAAAATGTTAGTGGAGGTGTTAGGAGGAACCAATTGTGTAAAAGCCTCGGTTCTTACACCTTATTACCACAAAATAGGTAAGTCTTTGGCAGGTTATTAGGTACTTGCAGAATACTAAAATAATTTTTTTTATAAAACCTAAAAAAATTATTTATTAGTTATTTATTTTTTGAGAAACAGCGTGTGCGCTCTCTCTCAAAAGTAAACATTAAAAAATATTTTTAAAAATTCTAAGCAAAACTCAGATTCAGATTCACTAAATGTTCCTAAATATTTAAAAGTTTTTTTTCCTCTCCATTAAGTACCCTAAAAGTCAGGGAAATGATTTTTCACAATTTCATCATTTTAAGTTTCATCACAAAAACTAAGTTGGATTATTAACCTGGATAAAGATTTCCATTGGTGTGTATGCTCAACTCTAACCTGGTTAACCTTGTTTCTCAGTGGTCTGGTTGTAGAAGGCATTCTGACCTCATCATAGATGACATAAAGTTGGTGGGTTAGCTGATAAATTGGAGGGCAACATAAGATTTTTTAAAAAAATAGCTAAATTCCGGGTACCAGGGTGGCTCAGTCGGTTAGGTGTCCGACTCTTGATCCTGGCTCAGGTCATCATCTTGTGGTTCGTGAATTCAAGTTCCACATTGGGTTCTGTGCTGATGGCTTGGAGCCTGCTTGGGATTTTGTCTCTCTCTGCTCCTCACCTACTTGCTCTCTCTCTCTCTCAAAAATAAATAAATAAACTTTAAAAATAGCTAAATTCAAATGATGGACTTAAAGGAAAAGATGAGGTTTTAAGAAGATTAACATAAACTTTCCAAATTTAGGATTAGAAAACTTCTGCATATATACAGGATGTTTATACAGGATTATAAGCTTGATATAAACTAATACTGTAAATGGTTGCCAAAGATCAAATACTATTTTAAACTATGTTATTAAGAATAACAAGAAAGTTGGTAGTCCCACTGTATTCAGTCCTTAAGACATATCTTAGTATTGTATTCTTCTTTTGAGCGTTGAATTTTGTGAGAGACAGTGACAAATAGGGCCTGGAAACACAGGATCTAGAAATCATGTCTTACAACTGGAGAGGACAGCACTGCACAGATTCAGTCCCTGAGCAAGTTCCTAAACCTCCGAACTTTATTTGTTTCTTCTACTGTAAACGGGGATAATAATGCCCACTTAATAGGATTACCTGACATATTGCATGAGAAGCATTTAGCACTGTCCTTGGAACATAGTGAGTGCTCAATAAATTTTATTTAACAAAAAAGCTACAAATGTTTAATTTGAAAACTGGACGAATTATGGTGGGCATAGCATAATGTTTGAAGGATTGCTATGTGAAAGAAGAACTGGATATTTTTCTCAAGGGTAAAAATATGGAAAAAAGGAATATTTTAAGTCAATATAAGGAGAGTTTTATGAAATATTTGTCAAAAAATGAAATAATGGGCTGCCTTGTGAAGAAGAAATGTTTGTGGCAGAGGCTGGGTGATCAGACGGTGTGTGTGTGTTTGTGTGTGTGTGTGTGTGTGTGTGTGATTTTTGTATTCAGCTGAAGGCTGACCCAATAGTCATTAATATGCCCTTCTTGTACTACAAAATACATATTCTCAGTTGTTTGGTTTTATATTAGTCAGGATTATGTTGGCTATGAGTGACAAAAATCCACAAATAATAGGAACTTAACAAAGTTTATTTCCTTCTCCCCAGGGCTGGGATGCCAGCTCCATGAACATTAAAGATCAGGATCCTTCTATTTTATTATAATTTACAACCTCAACATATAGCTTCTACTTTATAGTCCAGAATGACTCCCTCTACTTTAGCCAACACATCTATAATCAGAGCAGAAAGAGGGAGGGAAGAAAAGGGAAGGGTATCCCTTTAAGTACAGTTCCTTGAAGTTGCATATACCTTTTTTTTTTTGAGAGAGAGAGAGAGAAAGAGAGAGCGAGCATGAGCTAAAGAGGGACAAGAGAGAAAGGGAGAGGGAGAATGCCAAGCAGGGTCCATACTGCCATCTTGGAGTCTGACTCAGGCCTCGTTCCCATGAAGCATGAGATCATGATCTGAGCTGAAATCAAGAATTGGACACTAGTCAACTGAACTACCCAGGCACCTCTGCACATACCATTTTTAATTATACCCCTTGGCCACAGTTGGCTATGCATGAGTTTAGAAAACGTGGTTTTTATTCCTGGTTATCATGTACTCAGCTAATTCTATTATTAAAAACGAACGGAAGCATTAGGCATTGGGGAACAACTTACACTCACTGTGAGAGGATGGTTTTAAAAGACTGACATATATCTTCCTTGGCTTACCATGGGGTTATATCCCAATAGACCCACTTTATATTGGAAATACCATAAGTCAAAAATGCATTTAACACACGTAACATGCGGAACATCACAACTTAGCTTAGGTTAGCTTACCTAAAATGTGCTCAGAACACTTATATTAGCCTACAGTTAGGCAAAATCATCTACCACAAAGCTTATTTTACAATAAGGTGTTGAATGTCTTATATAATTTATAGAATATTGTACTGAAAGTGAAAAACAGAATGGTTCTAAGTGTATCAGTTGTCTGTCCTCTTGCTGCCCAGCATCAAAAGAGATTATGTAGTGCATGTTGTTAGCCCACACAAGACCCAAATTCCAAATCTGAAGTATGGTTTCTCTTGAATGCATAATCACTTTTGCACCACTGTAAAGTTGAAAAATCATAGGTTGGGGACTGTCTGCATACTCTTATTAATCTATACTGTTTAAAATATATCTGTATTTTTGGGCACCTGAATGGCTCAATCAATGACTCTTGATTTCAGCCTAGGTTATGATCTCATGGTTTGTGAGATTGAGCCCTGTGTCAGGCTCTGAACTGACAGGAGCCTGCTTGGGATTCTCTCTCTCCCTGTCTCTCTGCCATCCTCTGCTCATTTTCTCTCTCTCTCCTTCTCTCACTCACTCTCTCTCTTTTTCATAAATAACTAAACTTTAAAAATATGTTTATTTTTGACAGAGATAGTATGAGTGGGAACTTAGGAGGGGCAGACAGAGAGACAGGATCCAAAGTGGGCTCTGTGCTGACAGCAGAGAGCCGGGTGATGGGGCTGGAACTCAGGAACTGTAAGATCATGACCTGAGCCGAAGTCCGATGTTTAACTGACTGAGCTACCCAGGTGCCCCAATAATTTCTTAATATCACATTGCTTGTCAATGTTCGAATGTCTCAATTGTCTTTTATATGTTTTATTTTACTGTTTATATTTTTGAAGTCGGGATCCAAACATTACATTTTTAAGTTCTACTTTCCTCTTTCCCCGTTACAGTTTATTTATTGAAAAAAAATTATTTTCACATTCTAGACTTTTCCAATTGCAACCTTGTTTTATCACATGCTCCTGTATCCCCTCTTTTTTTTTTCTATAAGCCAGTCTTTAGATCTATTTAAAAAATTTTAATGTTTTTTATTTATTTCTGAGAGAGAGAGAGAGAAAGTGTGAGTGTAAGTAGGGGAGGGTCAGAGAGAGAGGGAGATACAGAATCTGAAGAAGGCTCCCGGCTCTGAGCTAGCTGTCAGCACGGAGCCCAACGTGGGGCTCGACCCCACGAACCATGAGATCATGACCTGAGCCAAAGTCGGATGCTTAACTAACTGAGCTACTCCGGTACCCCGACCAGTCCTTAGATCTAGAGGCTTGAGTAGATTCAGGCTAGATTCAGGTTGGGTTTTTTTTTGTTTGTTTGTTTGTTTTGCCTAGACGATTTCATAGGTGGTATTGCATCATATCAGAAGATATACAATGCTGGTTATCCTGTTTTTTATTATCTTAAAGATTAATCAGCTCATCTATTAGAAAGTTTTCCACCTACAGATTTTATTAGCCATTAAAATTATTGTCTAAATCCATCATTCATTAGGGGTGGTAAAGTAGTGATATTCTGTATTTATCATTTCTTCTGCATTAGCTGGAGTTTATCTAAAAAGAACTTACCCATATCAACTATTTAGTTACTCTTTTGTACAGTTCATACAAGAAAGACATGATACATGTTTGAACCTTTGCCTTCAGATGAGTGGGTTTAGCTTTCTTCAGATGTTACCAAGAGATTTAAGAGGATTAAAATAAAACTTAATGTGATTTGGCCTGTACCAGTGCTAAATATAACTCCATGCTAAATATAGTTTAGTAACACTTGCTGGTTGATTTGTATTGATTGATTTTCAAAGACAGGTGCCATTGGACTAGATCTTATAAAACAAGTTGGATAATTAGGGAGGTAGATCTTCTTATACATATTTAAAATATATCTTTAGGGCACGTGGGTTGCTCAGTCATTTAGGCTTCTTGATTTCGTCTCAGGTCATGATCTCCTGGTTTGTGAGTTTGATTCCACATCAGGCTCTGCACTCACAGCACAGAGCCTGCTTTGGATCCTCTCTCTCCCTCTTTTTGCCCTTCCTCTACTCACGTTCTCTCTCTCTCTCAAAAATAAATAAATTTTAAATTTTTAAAAATAAAATATATCTTTAAACCTATACCTGTAGGAATTTACTTAATTCATACTGTTGATTCCTGTACTTCCTTATAGATTTTGAGTGTATCTTGGATAAAAGAAAAAAACCTCTTCCATATGGAAGCAATAATATAACTTTGGGAAAATTACCAGAAATGCACTGGGAGTCAAATACCCAAATAACTGGATCAAGACTGCCACCAGGAGCTGAAAGGTACTAACTTATTTCTTAGTTTCAGATTTTGTTAATTAAATGCTAAGTTTGGCATAATTTAACGAACTCCATTATCAAGGACTGATTGTAGGAGAATCTGCTGCTCATGTATCTCAAGCATTCTGCCATTGCTTTTCCTGTGTCTTCTGCCTTAATGTCTGTCCTTTGGTGTCCAAAGCCTACCAGTCTTTCTAACTAGAGTGCTAACCTTCTGACTGTCCTCCATGGAAATAAATAGTATTTTCTTTGGAGCTCCCATACCTCTCTACTTATCTGATAGCACTTAGCCACTTTCTACACTGCATTACAATTACTTAATACATATCACATGTTTTGTTAGACTATAACCTGTGTCTCTTTATGTTTGTATCCCTCAGAGTGCTTTCCATAGGTAGTTGCATAGTAAATATATATTGGACAAGGATACAAATGAATGAAAGCATGGAAATTTTTACTATAATATGGTATAAATTCTAATGAGTAGGCTTATTTGTCGCTAGTTACCAATTTAAGTAGAATAGTGACTTAGCATACTCATTTATATTCATTTGGCTTTTGTTAATTTATGAAGATGTAACTTTGCTCCTGAAATGCTTTTAATTATTTGGTTTCTCATTTTGATTTCAGAAGTAAAATTTTTTTTAATCTTATGTAGGATTGCTTTGGAATTTTTGGATTCAAGAGCTGTTTGTAGAAATGTCCCTTACTTAAAGGGAAAATCTGCTATGAAAAAACGACATTTGGAAATTTTGGGGTATCGTGTAATTCAGGTATGATATACTCATGTAGTTCCGCCCCTAAAAAACTCAGAAAACTAGATCTAGTACATGTGTTTCCTTATTTTTGAAAAATTGGGTATAATTAACATATATTGTTATATTCATTTCAGGTATACAACATAATGATTCAATAATTCTATACATTACTCAGTGCTTACAATTAAGTATAGTGATCATCTGTCCTCAAACCTTTTGCAGTCTTCCAGGCTAAATTCCCTCTGCTCTACTTTTCATCTCCATAATTTATTTATTTTGCAATAAATAAATTTGTACACTTTATCTGTTTCACCCATCCCCCACCCATCTACCATCTGACAACCACCTGTTTGTTCTCTGTATTTAAGAATCTGGTAAACATTAAAAAAATTTTTTTTTAGTTAAAAATGGGGCGCCTGGGTAGCTAGTCGGTTAAGCGTCTGACTTCAGCTCAGGTCATGATCTCATGGTTCGTGGGTTTTAGCCCCGCACTGGGCTCTGTGCTGACAGCTCAGTGCCTGGAGCCTGTTTCAGATTCTATGTCCCCCTTATCTCTGCTCCTCCCCTGTTCACAGTCTGTCTCTCTCTCTCTTTCAAAAGTAAACATTAAAAAAAAAAAAGAATCTGATATTTGGGGCTCTTGGGTAGCTCAGTTGGTTAAGTGTGAGACTCTTAATTTGGCTCAGGTCATGATCTCATGGTTGGAGACCAAGCCCTGTGTTGGGCTCCAAGCTGTCAGCAGAGATTTTCTCTCTTCCTCTCCCCCTCCCTTGCTTGAAATGCATGTACATGCGCATGCTCGCTCTCTCTACCTCTCTTTCTCTCTCTCAAAAAAAAAAAAAAAAGAACTCTGGTTTTTTGGTATTTTTTCTTTGTTCATTTATTTTGTTTCTTAATCATACATGAAAGAAGTCATATGGTATTTGTCTTTCTCTGTCTGACTTTTTTAACTTAACGTTATACCCTCTAGGTCCATCCAGTATGTGTTCCCTTTTAATGTAAAAGTTCTAGAATTACCTTTTTTTTTTAATTTTTTAAAAATGTTTTTTATTTATTTCTGAGAGAGAGACAGCATGAGCAGGGGAGGGCCAGAGAGAGAGGGAGACGCACAATCTGAAACAGGCTCCAGGCTCTGAGCTGTCAGCACAGAGCCTGACTCAGAGCTCAAACCCACGAACCGTGAGATCATGACCTGAGCTGAAGTCAGACGCTTAACCAGCTGAGCCTCCCAGGTGCCCCTAGAATTACCTTTTTTTTAACATTAAAAAAAAGTTACATTGAAATATCTCCCAAACAGGCATTTGCCTTGTTTTTTTGAATAGGAAATAAAAATCACTTATTTTATTGTCTTTCGAAGATCTTTTGGTTTTTATATTTATCTTATGAGAGAGAAGCACTGTGGAGATGGGTAGAGATAGAAGAGAAGAAGGCCAGTGAGTATGTAGAAAGGTACACGGTTGGTATTGCAGGAGCAGGAGGAAGAAAACAGCTGTGAGGCAGAGGAAGGTATCTGGCTCTATTTGGGCAAAAGACCCACTTGACTTCTAAAAATGGTTTATGCTTATGTAAGTTCATTTAATAGGCTCTCATAGTTCGGCTCAGTAGTGCTTACAAGTCTCCCGTGATGCTTTTTTGTTGTTGCTTTAAAACTTTCACTCAGACTACATGGCTTATTTTACAGATCCCGCATTTTGAATGGAGCTCTATGGTGTTGTCAACAAAGGAAGCTCGGATGGACTACCTGAGAGAATGCATATTTGGAGAAGGCAAATCATGACTGTAGCTTGTATTTAAAATTAGTGATGCTGGGGGGCACCTGGGTGGCTTAGTCAGTTAAGCGTCCGACTGTCGCTTAGGTCATGATCTCGCGGTTCGTGGGTTCGGGCACCGCGTCGGGCTCTGTGCTGACTGCCAGCTCAGAGCCTGAAGCCTGTTTCAGAGTCTGTGACTCCCTCTCTCTCTGACCCTCCCCTGTTCATGCTGTCTCTCTCTCTCTCCTAGAAATAAATAAAAATATTTAAAAAAAAAAGATAAAATTAGTGATGCTGCTGGTGTATCACATCTGAACTTATTTTAATTAAGTGGCCTCACTCAGTTGAAAAATAATACAACAGAATTGACTGATTTCAAGATCAATTGAATACCTAATAAAATAAACAGACATTTTACTTTCTCTAATACTTAATACTTTCTCTACTATCTGGTTGAGAAATTGTATAAAATTCTTAATATAAAAGACTTATAGCTTTTAAGAAACTCAATAGTTTACAATTCATTCTTTCAGTGCCTGCTAAGTGCCAGTAACTGTTTTAGGTGCTGAGAATACAGCAGTGTATATAGTGTATCTGTCATGGGTGGCCAGTGAGGTAGGAGGGAAAGTCATAGGTACAAATACTTCCTAGAAGCCAAGTAGAGAAAGCATTTCAAAGAGCACAAGGTGAGCAGTTGTATCAGATGCTGCTGATGGCTCAGGTAAAATGAGGACTGGGAAATGACCTTTAAATTTAGCAACATGAAAATCATTGGTAACCTTGAAAAGAGTAGTTAGGTTTAGTTGAAGTACTTATTTAAAATACTATTATTTTGCATGGTGTGAAATGCAATATATAACAGTAAGTAAAAAAAAAAAAAAAACCTAAGCACTTTTAGAATAAAATGATTAGATTGATAAGGATTACAAATTGTTTCCTTTGAATATAAATGAAAACCTAATTATTGTGTACTTTGAATACAGGGAAATGTTGGTTAAATTACCCTGACGTACCTTTCACTTACTGTTACACATAATGTGACTTCTCGTGTACCACATCTCATACTCTCCTTCTTGTAGGTGGCCCTACCCAAATGGTTTTCTTTACATATATATTCTTATATATTTTTGTTTGATGATCTTTCTATTTAAATAACTGGAGTTGTTATAAACAAAAGCATTCTTTTTTTTTAAGCATTCTTTTTTTCATTGAGCTATAATTCATATACCATAAAATTCAGTGTTTTGCAGTATACAATGCAGTGGTTTTCTAGAATATTCACAAGTTTGTGCAACCATTACCACTATTTAGTTCCAGAACATTTCCATCATCCCAAAGCACTATTTTTACAACTTAATCTCATGTCTGTGTAGGTCTGCACTCTCTCCCCAACATGAGGCTTGAACTTACAATGCTGAGATCAAGACCTGAGCTGAGATCAAGAGCTGGACGCTTAACCAACTGAGCCATCCAGGCACCCCTGTCTTGCTTTTATAGTAAGCACTTCCTCTTACAGTTTTATCACTCAAATTTGCATCTCTAGACACCATAATTTGCCCCCTCGACCTTTTAAATATGTCTTAATCTAGAAGTATCCCACACGATCCCTTTCTCTTCCAAACAGTTTATCTGCTGAACAACCTGTAGAGTTCCCCATCTTCAGGATTTGTTGATTATATAATCATAGATAGTCTAGAGCAGTTTTTGTCAATATAGAAAAGTAGCCAGGATTCTACTTCAAAGATCCAAAGTAAAACTGATTTTTATCGAATATATTTCCATTTTTATGGTAGAGACAATAACACTGTACCAACACTCATCTGTTCTTTATGAAATTGCTTAACAAATAATAATGGAATACTCCAAATTAGTTCCAAGACAGATTGCTCACAAAATGACATGTGCAAGGATAGAAGTCAAACATGTCTATAAAAGCATGTGAACGGTGAGTGGTTGATGACTTGCACAGAGTTGAACGTGATGGCTGTGGACACACCGAGGAGTCAACTTAGTGTGTACGCTAACAACAGCTTGAATATTGGGTTTCACATCCCAGAAAATGCAATTATACAGTCACCTTTCTTTTTTTCTTTTTCTTTTTTCTTTTTCAAGTTTATTTATTTTTGAGAGAGAGGGAAAGCATGCACACACACATGAGCAGGGACCAAGCAGAGAGAGGGAGAGAGAGAATCCCAGGCAGGCTGTGCGCTATTAGTAAAGAGCCCCATGTAAGGCTTGATCTCATGAACTGTGAGATCATGACCTGAGCAGAAATCAGAATTGGACACTTAAATGACTGAGCCACCCAGCCACCCCAGTCACCTTTCTATCAGAGATTTGCAAATAGATAGCTCTTTCATAGAAAATATAGATAAAACTTAAACTGACAAATACACACTCCCCCTCCAGTACCTCACTGGCCTCAACTCTGCCCAGGAATTTAAAGAATCGGTTCAGGGGCGCCTGGGTGACTTGGTTAAGCGTCCGACTTCGGCTCAGGTCATGATCTCGCGGTTTGTGGGTTTAAGCCCCGCATCGGGCTCTGTGCAGGCAGCTCAGAGCCTGGAGCCTGTTTCAGATTCTGTGTCTCCCTCTCTCTCTCTGCCCCTCCCCTGCTCATGCTCTGTCTCTGTTTCAAAAATAAACCAAAAAAAACCAAAAAACAAAAAACTATAAAAAAAAAGAATCAGTTCATTTCCTAAGGACAGTCTCCAACCCTCCTACCACAGATACTGTAGTTAATGGCTTGAAGACTGTGGTTAACTGGTTTTAAATAAAATTTTTAAAAACTTAAATTTTTTTAAAGTTTATTTGTTTTGAGAGAGCGTGGGAGGGGCAGAGAGAGAACCCCCAAGCAGCCTCGGCACTGTCAGTGCAGAGTCCAATACGGGCTGGAACTCAGGAACTGTGAGATCACGGCCTGAGCTGAAACCTGGATGCCTAACCGACTAAGCCACCAAGGTGCCCTCCCCCCAAAATTAAATTTGATTTAAATCACAAACAATTTACTAGTGTCACAAAAAGAATGGAGAAAAAAGAAAGACCACCTGAATTTGACTGCTTAGAGATTTTTCCCCTTCAAATGAGACCCATTTATTATACTTTTTAAATAGCATTTCCAAAATTCTCTCATAGGATGTCATCTTTAATATAATGCATAGGAATCTTGTCATTATCTTGAAGCACAAGGGAAAGTTTTTGATATTTTAAACATTAAAAAAATGTAGATGTACATATTTCATTCTCCAATTTCATTTATAATAGAAAATGAATGTAAAGTTACCATAACAATGCAAATGAAAGAATTAGTAAACAACTTAAATTTAGAAAATTTCTTTACAATCGAGACAGATTAACAAAAGAAATAATCTGTTCAACTTACTATTTGATTTCTTACTAGAAAATGGTTTTAAACAATGATCATTACATTGAAGATTCAATGACTGAGGTTTTGACACCCACTACTAACCTCATGGACAGTAATTAGTGAATAATTTCTACATGAATCTCTGTATAGGCTTTTGAAAACGTAATAAATTAAAGCCCTATTATCCAAACAAACCACATTCCATTCTATTGTTTTTTCACCTCCCAGTTTATAGTTTAGACAGTTTGAAAAGGTTTAAACGTGTTGCTAGGCAACTAGCTCCTGAAGCATAACGTATTTCCTTCAACATCCCAGCCCATTCTTTTTTATCATCTTCATACCTGATGGAGGAAAAAAAAAAAGTAATCAATACGTAGTTTTTAAATAGATAGTTCTGTACATTTCCTTGTATTAAATATTTGAATGTGGGTCTTTGAGAAAACCCTATTGGCTCCTATCCAGAAGAGGACACGCCTGACTGGTACAGTAACATTTGAGTTCCTCCTCAAATATGCTTTCCCTGAGCCTATGTCTGAACTACTGCCATGGTATTTAATCTGGATGCTTAGGCAGTTAAGCCTTCTCTGGGAATCAAAGACTTTTCAGAGATGAAGAGTAATAGTTATGCAATCAATTATTTGCATTTGGACTAATAAAGATGGCTGGTCTCTATGTCAAAGTCAGAACTGGAAAGTACAGGGACAGCTAGTCACCTTGATTATAATTTCAGTCATTCACATACAGTTGTGCCCAGCATGCCAGCTGACGCCAGTGATCACTCCAGAAGAATTCATTCCCTTCTGCCTTATTGTCCTGTGTGAGTACTGTGGGATTTTTGCATTTGATGTTAGGTAAGAACTAATGTTAAGTTGTTCCCTCAGGGAATATTCACCGTTATAAAGATACAGGAACTTGAATTGCTTTGAAATATGTGTGCCTCTACTCTGCCTGGTGCCTGGAATGCCTTCTCTGCATGAGGAATTCCTAAATGCTGCCCTCTCTGAAGCCTTTTTTGCCTTCCTCAAGCAGAGTTTGTAGCTTTCCCTTCATTTCTCACAGTGTCTTTTATATAGTATTTATTATAGCAGTTATCATTCTATTTAAAAATTTCCCCCATATTTATGTCCTCCACAAGCTCAAGGGTATTTGAGGGGAAACAATGTATCTTATTCACCTTCGTATTTTTCCCACACCAGAAGCTATCAATACTTGCACATACCCCCAAATCATTCAATGATGATGATGATTTAAAGTAATAATTTTTAAAATTAGCTGACACTTATGTAAGATATATGCTATCTGACTTAATTTTATCAATAATCCAAATTGAATTTTCAAGATTTGTACTGTGCACCAAGTGAATTTTATGTTGAGAAAAGTAGCGAAAAATATTTTAACCACTAGTAGAGGGAAGAACCTTAATTATCTGTACAAAATTTCAGGCAACAGATTAAAAGATAAAGAACGGTTTTAAATGACTTAATGAAAAAGTGACCACATTTATTCAATAGCAGGTTAAATAAGGCTTAAAAGCATTTGCTTCCTGACAGTTTTATTTTTACTTTAAGCTTGGTCAATTCTAAATAATGGAAAGAGTTCAACAAAAAATACAAGAGTGGAGGGTTTTTGGTTTTTTACACATCACACTAAGAAGATCTATAATGTCATATACCGATAGTTTTCATCTCTTATTTTCATCTCTACAAGTGTGAGTAGAGATCCCCCAGGAAGTTGAGGACAAGTGGGCAGCACCTTTCTGGAGATCAGTGGCTTTCAACTTTGTTTTTTTTAATGTTTCAAGTCTTTATTTAAATCCTAGTTAGTGACATATAGTGTAATATTAGTTTTAGGAGAATTTAAGCAGCTGTCAGCTTTAGTGCACATCTGAGTCACCTTGAGGGAGGTCTTGCTAGAACACAGACGACTGGACCCCCCACCCCTAGAGTTTTAGTAGATTTGAGGTAAGGCCTGAGAATGTGCATTTTAACAAGTACACAGGTGGTGCTGATGCTGCCTTGGAAACCACAGCAGATCACTGGTTCTCAAACTTGTCTTACACATTTGGAACCACCTAGAGACATGAAAAATATTGATGCCTGAGTCCTACACCCAGAGACTGATTTAACTGGTATGGAGTATGGCCTCGGCATGAACATTGTTTAAAGTTCTCGATGTGATTCTAATACACAGCAAGATTTGAGAATTATTGCTCTGGATTTTATCACCCAAGTGGAAAACCATTTTGCATTTAAAATTTTACAGCCAAGCAGACAGCGATGAATGCATTCTTGCCTTTCCCCAGTTTAGCGGTTCCCAAACTTGTCTGCACTTTAGAATCATCCAGGGGTCTTTTGGAAGTTTCTAAGCTCAGACCATACCCTAGAAAATGAAATCATAGTCCACAGAGGTAGGACAGAGGTGTTGACACCTTTTGAAACTCCCTGCGTGATTCCAGTGAGCAAACAACTTTGGGAACCACTGTCGTAATTGCAAAATAAAACATAATCAGAGAGGCTCCCACTTTCAGGCTCCCCTCAGTAATATAAAGGCTACTTTTAGCAGGAGATGCCCTACTTTGCTGCCTACAACATCCTCCTGCTGAAGCAACTTGGCTTTTGACCCCCGTTAGGAATGATAATGGCTCATGTGGGATTCAGTTGATTGATAGCACCATTCCCTAACACCAGTGTTTCTCGACCCTGGCTGCATAGCAGAATCACCTGCAAAGGTTTTGGGGCCGAACTGCAGAAATCCCGATTTAATTGGCCTGCATTAAGGTCCAGGTGCTGGTATATTTTAAAAGCATCCCAGGTGATTTTTTAACATGCAGTCCAGGGTTAAGAATCACTGCCTATTCACTCTTTGGGCTTATCCCAGTTTTCCAAAAATCCTAACTTTCTCAGCCTTCCATTATTTCATTCTTTTTTTCTCTTCTGCTTCCAGCCTTTTTCCATCTCAACTTCTCCCAAAGTCTAGCCTCTTTCCTCCCTGGAAATCGCTGGTTTCTTTTCACTCCTCCTCCTCTTTTGGGGTAGAGGGAGAGGAGTAATACTTAACTTCCCTTTATAGCCACTTTTTCCTTGCCTTCTATACCGCTATTTACTATTATAACAACACAAGGAAATGATGTTTGATGCATAAAGTAATTCCAGTCTGTCAGCCTTTCAGCTCACCAGGGAATAAGGCATGTGCTGGGTGAAGTATAGAAGGAATAATATCCACTTTCCACTCTCAGCCTTGATGGTCTGCCTTCACTGATAGCTCTTCCAAAGCTATCCCTACAAATGTAAATGTGTGAGCAAACCACCTGGGAGTCTTGTTAAAATGAAGATACTGATTAAGTTTGAGGTGAAGCCTGGGATTCTGCATTTCTAAGAAGCTCTCATAAGATGCCACCACTGCTGGTCCATAGACCATACTTTGCATATCAAGGTTGCAGACAATTTGGTGACAGGCCAGGGAAGGGCATCCATACTTGAGAGTGGGGGCTGGCCTTTAAGCTGAGAGGGAAAGCATGAGTTTGGCAGTTTCTGGATGAGTGTATAGTATGAACTCATTAATGCTAACTTCAGGCAACTGAGGTCTATTTCCTATAAATTTTTATAAGCAAGCACAGTGCCCAGGCTGAAGGCAGCAGGTGCCATTTGACAGACACATGTGGCATCCTAACGGTAACCAGACATCTGCATACTGTATGCCCTGCCCCAACCGTGTGACTCTCTATGACACAACCTAGACTTCTGCTCCCAAGACTTCCTGTATGCACCCTGTCTCCAGAGGACATTCACTGCATTAGAAACTATGGTAAAATTCACCACCCCCCACACACTGTATAAATACTACATTCATTTTTAAACTTAACTTTAAAATACTCAACCGAGTAACAACTGCAAGTATCATAACTTGGGATACCTTCCCAGCATTTATCTGAGAGGTAAATGGATTGCTCCTTTTCACTTGTTTCTTTTTTAAAAAGCTTTTGTAACTGAATCCTCACAACTGAAAAACCATTTAAATTAGATTCAAAATAGAACTAATGAATTAATGGAAAACTCAAGAAGTTAAATGTTTCTTCAGAACTCTTAGGAAATAAAGTACCCTCTGGTGGAAAGGTTTGAAAGCAGCCTTTGCTCTACTGGATGCCTAGTGTCTTACACTTTCAGAGCTGGAGTAGAGCTTTATTAATCAACAGTCCGAATCTCATTTTACTGGTTAAGAAACGGGCCTAGATAAATTCTTTCCCAAGCACACAGCTAATTAGAAGCAGTACTTGATCATCAAGTAAGTGGCACGTGCAAAAGTTCAATTAGGTTCGAAAAGTATTAAGTATACTACCAAGCATACTTGTTGGGAAAGTCTGGCCTACTCTTTACTGAAAAATTGTTTGTTTCATCAGTTATCAGTTATTTGATTTAATATTTGGTCCAGAAGAATTGGGAGTCAGAAAAACTTACTTCCATATGTCATTGACTTCAGTGGGTGCAAACTCTTTAGACTCCAGCTGAATCATGGCAAAACCACCGATGGCATACAGGGATCCAGCCAGGCTGACCAAACTGATGGAACTTCTCTCTTGGGGAAATTCAGTCATTACTTCCCATCTAGGAATCAATTGAAAATACAGTTAATGTAAAACCTAAGGAAAGGCCAGATTTATGAACAATTATGTGAAATTATAATTTAAAAATTCAAGTAGCAAAGGCATCTAAAATTAGATGATTAAATTTGCTACTGAAAAATAGCTAAATGTGTCTTTATTTGAAAGATGTAACCAGATTAAATATAAAGTCCTCACTATGTCAATCTTGGAATATTTCACCTTTACCAATTAGCATGTTCAGCAACAGTTATCAATTATGTGTGCCGTAAACTGGGGGTTTGGTGCCGTTCAAGGGCTCCTAGGTCTTACTGAGCTGATTTCATTTGAATGGTAATACAAGTTTTTGAAACCTCTGATTTCCATCATTTCTCAAGAAATTTCTAAATCCTTTGCAGTAAAGGCAAGTAATTAACCTAGTTTAGAAGCTAGAGTTGGCAATTTTCTTTTTAATGACTTCATCTTTTTAAATAAAGGATTCCAGGGAACTTTTTAATGTGTAAAGCCATATGAAATAGGACAACTCATGATAAAATCAATCAAATCAGTTGGAAGTATCAAGAATCTAGAATGCATTAGTTGTTTTGGCAACTCTCTATTCTATTGCTTTGGCATTAAAAGTGGACCTTTCTCTAAACATATTATTTATTTTTCTAACTATACAAATAGCACATATACATTGTAGAATACCTGGAAATACAAAAAGGTATAGAAGAAAACAAATACCACCTATGATCATACCCTCCAGACATAATCATAAGCAACATTTTAATGTCATTTTGTTTTTTTCAAAAAGCATACAAATTTAAATATAAATGTCTAAACAAACACATGAAAAAGCTAAGAACATAGAGTTTATAGTTTTGTGTGCTGCTTCTTTAACTTCTTATGAGCGTTTACCCATATGATAGTTTCAAAAACATGATTTTTAATGACCATTTAAATCCCCTCTCATAAAAGTTCCTTGGTGATTTTCACATACTAAAGTGAATTTTGTGGGGTGACTGGGTGGCTCAGTCAGTTAAGCGTCTGACTGCGGCTCAGGTCATGATCTCACGGTTTGTGGGTTTGAGCCCCACATCAGGCTCTGTGCTGACAGGTAGCTCAGAGCCTGGAGCCTGTTTCAGATTTCTNTTACTATTCTTTAAATATCCAATAAAAAGCACTGACCTTCATTAAGATGCAGATTTTTGCACTGGTTTCAGATAGCTTCCCCGGAGCATCCTCTCCTCTGACCATACTAACAAATGAATAAAATAATTTTTTTTTTTTTGGCAGAAGAACATTTTCTTCTCCAGTGCCGTATGTTTTATTCTCTCTGTATCTCCCTCTCTCTCTGACCCTCCCCTGCTCACATTCTCTCTCTCTCTCTCTCTCTCTCTCTCTCTCTCTCAGAAATAAATAAAACATTAAGAAAAAAATTTAAAAAATAAAGTGAATTTTGTAATCAGGCATACATGGTTCCTTAAAAAAATGACAGTGCTCTAATTTTTCTTCATTGATAAACTAGGAGTGTAAAAACTATATACTTATCCAGATGAGTGAATTAAAAAATTTGAAATAAGACTAATTTTACATAAAGAATATCTGTCAAATATCTTTTCATATTAACTTTAAGCCAATAAAAGCTTATAAGTGAAAATTTTAAGGAAAATTATTATAAAGAGCATAAAAGAATTAAACGTTTGAAGTATTCGTGCTTAGGGGTGCCTGGGTGGCTCAGTCGGTTAAGCGTCTGACTTCGGCTCAGGTCATGATCTCACGGTTCGTGGGTTCGGGCCCCGTGTCGGGCTCTGTGCTGACAGCTAGCTGAGAGTCTGGAGCCTGCTTCTGATTCTGTGTCTCCCTCTCTCTCTGACCCTCCCCTGCTCATGCTGTCTCTCTCTCTCAGAAATAAATAAAACATTAAAAAAAATTTTTTTTGAAGTAATCCTGCTTTACAAATATCATAAGCTAAGTGGAGGTCTTTTCATCCCTGAAGAAACTACCTATTTCAAATCAAAGCACCGTATGGAGACATGTATATCCATTCACGTGTATATAATTATTCAGAAGTATTACCTTTGAATGACTAAATTCATAAAGTTAAGTACAAACAAGGATAAATTGAACACGCCAACATTAACTTGAGGATTATGTGTTCCAAGTTGCAGGCACCCGTAATGCATCAAAATGTTAGGCATTTCACACCCTGGAACAGCAGACAGAACCCCGGTACTTATCTTAATCCTTGCCTTCCTGCCCTCCTCTCCCCATGTCCTAATCAGAAAGCTTACTTTTCATCCAAAATTAAAAAGTAGAGTGATTCATATGCGCTGGTAAGATACAGCAACTCACTTGTTGGTTATGAGGTCAAAAGCTTCTACTGAAGCTGAAAGACCATCTTCGGTGACGCCTCCTGCAATCACAATCTTGCCCTTATGTATGGCCACTCCGAACATGGAACGAGGGGTTTTCATTGGAGCCAGATCTTTCCAGTCTCCTTTTTTTGGGTTGTAGATAAACACTCTGTTTGTACACTTTCTGTAAACACAGAAGACAACAAAATGGTCTTTTAGAACCTTCCTTTTCTGAAAGAAGAGATTTTACTAATCATTTAACTTTGCTTCCCATCTCAGATACATAAAGCAGAATTAGAAAAACTCAAAAGTACTCTGAATCTGAACCTATGACACAAGTGAAGGACAACAGCAAAGGTGGGGACTGAAACTACGTTATGCTTAAGCATACTACTAGACGGCAGAGTACCTTTCCCTTCGGCAGCTGCCCAGAGTAGGTTTTAATCCTATGCTGCTAAATTCAACAGAAGACACAAATAGCGTTAAAAAAAATCATAAACCCTTTTTGTGCCAAGTAACAAAAATGTTAAGTTTATTTTATTGTTTGAGCCTCCTAGGAATGAATAAGTTAATTAAAAAAATAATTAGGTATGAAAGTACCTATTTTAAATTTAATTCCATAATATGATGGCTTATTTCATTTTAGCATACTACTAATATACCAGTGCATTTTAAGAAATCTGGGACTATAGATTAGACAACTAGTAGTCTGAATAGATAGGTGAGTAAGGAGAGCAGTTTTATATGCTAAATGTACTCATCTGAATTATTCTTAGTATGTTCCTCAGAGTTCCTTAATGTTAACCATAACTTACTGATGGGAGTTCAAATGGTAAATAATAATTGATCAACTGGATATATTTATGGGCTTTTTTGTTTACTTTTTGTTATTTTAAAGTAAGCTCTGCGCCCAATGTGGGGCTCGAGCTGGCAGCCACAAGACTGAGAATCGTGTGCTGTAGCAGGTGAGCCAGCCAGGTGCCCCTGGATATATCTGGTAAAGTCAAAAAGCAAACAAACAAAACTCACAATGTTTTAGGAAAACAACTTTTTTCTTTCGTCTTATGAAAGACCAGATATCTGGAGTAGAAGCATTTCCTCTAATATTTGACTATGAGTATTATTTTATAAAACTTCTTGACAAGGGCATGATACAAAATCATGTTCTTCAAATTCAGTGGTATTAACTAGTGAGATTTAGTGCTTACTTTTAGATAATGACTCATTTCAAAGTTCTTTGGCATTCGTCAAGCAATGCTGTCTTGGTTAATCATATTCTCAAGATTAATATATTCTTACCAACAAGACCTGTATGCTTCTTACTGACATATCAATTTCCTAGTTACTAATACCACTTGAAGGAAACAATTTAAATCATTTGGCAGGGTCACTAGATTTTCAAAGTCAGAATACTGCTTAATACACATTTTCCATTCCATTTACTCAGGAAAAATACCCCAAATAAGATTTTACACTAAGTTTTGTAATATGGCCTTCCTTTAAATGATGGGAATGACTGGGATTAAGGAAAATATTAACATATCAAATATGTTATCTTTGAATTTGGATAGACTGTATAAAAACCCATTGTTTTTTTAAAAAAATTTTTAAATATTTTAAAATTTATTATTGAGGGACAGACAGACAGCATGGTGGGGGGGAGGGGTTGAGAGAGGAGGAGACACAGAATCTGAAGGAGGCTCCAGGCTCTGAGCTGTTAGCACAGAGCCTGACGCGGGGCTCGAACTCACAAACTGCGAGATCATGACCTGAGCCGAAGTTGGATGCTTAACCAATTGAGCCACCCAGGTGCCCCCAAAACCCATTGTTTTTTTAAACAATTAGTCATTTATTTTTATTTTATTTTTTAATTGAAGTATAACTGATATACCATATCATATTAATTTCAGATGTACATCATAGTGATTTGATATTTTTATACATTATGAAATGATCCCCCTAGGTAAGTCTAGTTACCATGTGTCGCCATACAAAGTTGTTACAATATTATTGACTACATTCCCTATGCTGTATATTACTTTCCCTTGAGTTATCTTATAACTGGAAATTTGTACCTCTCAGCCCCCTTTACCTATCTCACCCGTCCCCAGCACCTCCCTGCCCTGGTAACCACCAGTTTGTTGTCTGTATCAGTGAGTCTGTTTCTGTTCTGTTTTTTTTGTTTGTTTGGTTGGTTTTTTTTTTTTTTTTGCTTTTTAGGTGCCCATTGCTTTTTAAAATCACATTTCCTGTGCTATTTGTCATTTTAACTTAATAATAACCATTAATTATTAACTCAGAATATAGAGTTATTTCTAGCACATTTCCATATTCTACTCTCCCTTCCTGCTTTGCCCTTATAATTCTTAATTCTGGCTCCCTTTCCAGGATTATCTCTATTTGATAAGCAGCTTGGGCAAATGAGCACAAGCCAAATTAGGCAGAGTTTTCAGGTGCAGGAAATTAATTCTCACTATTTAAGCTGAAAATCTTCATTTTACCAGACAGGCTCCTGACTTAACTGACTGACTTCTGGAGCATTCTGAAGTCATTTCTCCCTTTAAGTAACAAGATCTTTTTCCTAATTATCTATCTCTTGAGAAGTGCCTAGAAATCAAGTTATATGAACCTTCATCCTGTTTGTCTCACAAGAAACGGCACCAGTGAGGGTACCAGATGTAGCTGTTCTGTTTGATCTGTGCCTCTTTGTGACCATTTTAAAATATTTTGACTATCAACTCTGTCCAGGAGTAAATTAGTGAAACATTGTTTAGGAAATAACTGCTCTCTTTTCTGTCACCATGCTCTTCAGTTTTAAACTCACCTATCTAAATTCTCTCTTATGAATGTAAAGTACAAATCCATGATATTTTAATGCACTATTGCTTTAGCCATTATATTTTAGATATAACATTAAAATGGTACACCTAATTTTTAGCTAGTTATGGCCAAAAGACTAAGAAAGCCCACTGGCTTTAATGTAGTGAAATATAATGAAAAACTAGCCAAATTAAAGACTTGATTATGGGGGCGCCTGGGTGGCTCAGTTGGTTAAACATCTGACTTTTGGTTTTGGCTCAGGTCATGATCTTTTGGTCGTGGGTTCGAGCCCCACATTGTGCAGAGCCTGCTTGTGCTCTCTCTCTCTCTAAATAAATAAATAAGTAAATAAATAAATAAATGAATAAATAAACTTAAAAAAAAGAAAGACTTGATTAGGCTCCTAAATGCTGCTTTTCCACTGTAAGAATGCTTATGATAGAGGTATCATGCTACTTCCTAGCAATATGCTGAATATCTCCACATTTACTTTAGCAACTTTTATTTTTTGATACTTTAGCAATTTTTAAATTTTATGTAGCTTCCCTTGAGAAATCATTTATAATACCCTCCAATAGCTTTTCAGAATTTTATTTAGAAACTTTCACTTCAAAAATATTACAAGTGAGAACCAAGTCTCATTTCAGTCCATAGATTCAGATGAAAGGTGGGAAGAACTCTTGCAATAAAAAAATCATTTGGAGGGGTGCCTGGCTGGCTCAATCAGTAAAGTATGCAACTCTTGATCTCAGGATTGTGAGTTCAAGTCCCCATTGTGAGTAGAGCTTACTTACAAAAATGTTAAAAGAAAATCATTTGAATGTAAACCATAAGGAGAATTTAGGTACTTACTTGTCATCTGTCTTTCCTCCGAGACAATATATATTTCCCTTATGTGAAATGACACTATGGCCATAGACTTTGATAGGCAGTTTCTTAACTTCATTCCACTTTGCAGTCCTGCAATGAAAAGATGGTAGAATTTCTATGCTTTAAAAAACTTTTTCTGTGCTTTCAGTTAACTCTAGGTTCTAAAGCTATGAATACGTAATAGGCATTCATATATGCGAATGCTTAGGAAACAGGAATGTCATGCCAACTTACACGGGATCATAGCATAATACTGAATCCAGCGAAGCCTCTGTTTGAAGGTCTTTGCCTGCAACTACATAGATTTTGTCATCTACCTCTCCCAGACCGAAGAGACACCTGGCTGATGGCAGAGGTGGAAGTCCAACCCATTCAGATGCTATGTTATCAAGCTGAAAGAAAAATATATGAGGAATTGTGTAGCTTGTTAGAAAAGAGTTACAGTTGTTCCAAGAAATATGCTATATTCTATGTGTTGTTTAGAATACACTGAGATAGTGGGGCGCCTGGGTGGTTCAGAATGTTAAGCATATGACTCTTGGTTTTGGCTCATTTCACAGTTTGTGAAATTGAGCCCTGCATCAGGCTTTTTGCGAATGGCATGGAGCCTGCTTGGGATTCTCTCTCTGCCTCTCCCCTCCATCATAGTTTACATCTGGATTATCAAGAAAAATGAGAATTTCTACTCGGTTTACCAAAATAGCTAAAAGTATCAAAATCTGGAAAAAGAAAAGAGAGAACAGAGTCACTAGAGGTCAGTTAGAACTGTGAAGTTTCGGGGCGCCTGGGTGGCTTAGTCGGTTAAGCGTCCGACTTTCGCTTAGGTCATGATCTCGCGGTTCGTGGGTTCGAGCCCCGCGTCGGGCTCTGTGCTGACTGCCAGCTCAGAGCCTGGAGCCGGCTTCAGTCTGTGACTCCCTCTCTCTCTGACCCTCCCCTGCTCACGCTGTCTTTCTCTCTCTCTCTCTCCTAGAAATAAATAAAACATTAAAAAATTAAAAAGAAAAAAAAAAGAACTGTGAGGTTTCTTGTCAAGCTTTCTTCCCATGTCGTCTTGTTCAGGTTCAAAAAAAGCATCATAATACTGTTAATAGCGCATTGGGGAGAGAGATGTTGTGGCTGTGGGGAGGGTGTGTATGAGTGCCCCCCGAATGCTATATTTAACATGCTCCCCAAGCCGGCATCCAGGACAGCTGGACCTGTCGCTCAGTCCACAGACAACTGGGATGTTAGGCAATATCTTTTTTCTTTTCTTCAAAATTGTGTAGGTTTCTCTCTGTTTCCCTTTATGATTTCTGACATAGGCAGGTGTTCTAGCTATAACCTCCCAGCCTTTTGTTGGAAGACATTGGAAAAACCCTTGTCTCTATCTCTTTTTAAAATTGTACTAGGAAGTAACTTGCTTGCGTTTTCTACTGCTACTTCTGCAAGCCTCAGACAGCTCTCTAGGTGCCCATGCTCTCGTAGGCATGGTAATTACCAGGTAGGTAATTCTGGTGTGGGGGGCATCAGGTTCAGCACTTACTATTGGTGATTTTACATTTTTCCACTTTGCATTTTAGGACACGAAAGCGTGAGAAAATTGCTTTTTGAAGGAGTGCAGTTACAGATTTGTTGTCCGCTCTAATGCTATGTCCGTGTAACAGAAGAAGGAATAAACCCCAGAATAATTGGATTCAAGAGTAGGTGCAGATAATAAAGGCTGCGGTCAAGGGAAGGTCTCTGTAGAAGCCTATGTATAGTTCAGCTCGTAACTTTGGTTAAAGCAAAGTACTAATTAAAACTCGGTAAGATGAGCAATTTAATCCTCACATGTGCATTGTTAAGTCTGCATTCACGAATTTTAACATCTAGGTTGTGACCACTAACGTTTTCATTTTTGAAAAAAAAATCCTTTCATCAAGAAGGTGGTGTGTAGTATAGTAGAAATAAGAATGAACATTTATGAGGTTTTGACTCTGTGACAGGCTGCATGTTGAACTTTACACAGGTAATTTCATTCAGTTGTCCAGGATTATTATCTCCATTTTACAGACAAGAAAACTGAGGCACAGAAAGGTGAAATAACTGGCCCAAGCTCACAGAGCTTTTAAGTGATATTTACATACAAGCTATATAAAGCCATTGTTTGTTTTTTAAAAATGGGAAGAGCAGCCATCATGATCCCAGACTGGTGAGCTGACTGCCCACGCTGTATAGCACTGTCTGCATCGCCATCCTCTCCCCAGTTAGGGCACTTACTACAGCAGATGCAACAGTAGACTGTCTACTAGGCTCTTCTATAGATGACCTGTCAAGTCGTTTAACCTGTCTGGCTCCAGTTTCCTCATCCTTATAATCAGGGTTTGGACCTAGATTACTTTAAGATGAGATCCTGTTCAAAGATTTGATGAATCTATTAATTCTATGAAAAACAAAACGAACAACACTCTCTTATCCAGGTAAAATATTCTCATAATCTATTTATAGTACACAATCAAAGATCATATTACTCCTAACTTAATACATTTTAAACGGATGTGATCAAGCAGAAAAACATAATATAAAACCTGAAATTCTCATACATATATTTTCTTGTGAGTCATAAATAACCCTTCTTACAGTCAGGTGTGTTTATCCTGGCATCTTGTTGCACTATTTGTCCCTTTTAAAGAAGCAAGGCATGGGCAATGACAGAGGGTTGACCTTTTCAACTTTGTGTAACTGTTTTTGTAGCTATAAAGAGCATCGAACAGGTTTCTTGAACCAGAAGTGAGAGGCTGTGCCCATAAAAGTAAGAGTAGTTGGCGATCAAAAAGAATGAAATTTTGCCATTTGCAACATGGATGAAACTAGAGTGTATTATGCTAAATGAAATAAATCAGTCAGAGAAAGACAAATATATGATTTCACTCATGTGGAATTTAAAAAACAAAACAGATGAACATTGGGGAAGCAAAAATAAGATAAAAACAGAGAGGGAGACAAACCATAAGAGACTCTTAAAGACAGAGAACAACAAACTGAGGGTTGCTGGAGGGGTTGGGGGTGGGGGAATGGGCTAAATCGAGGGCATTAAGGAAGACACTTGTTGGGATGAGCACTGGGTGTTATATGTAAGTGATGAATAAATAAATTCTGTTCCTGAAATCATTATTACGCCATATGTTAACTAACATGGATTTAAATTAAAAATAAAAAACGAGTAGTAGCAGGATGGAAGAGAATAAAGATAACGCTAAGTATTCCTTGATCTATGATTTCTAGATACCTGTCTGTCCATTTGTGTTTTGATGTCATTTTTACTTCCTAGAAATAATTACTGCCTTTTAAGAGTCTCATGCTCTACCGACTGAGCTAGCCGGGCAGTTTAATTACTGCCTTTTAAGTTCAATTTGTCTTTTCTGAAATTTCACTGATTTTAAAATTAGAGCTTGGGAAATTTTCTGGCATGCATTCAAACACTTGGGATTATAGCTTCTATTTTACTTTTATATTTGATGGTAACATTCTTCAATGGAACTTTGAAAATTAAGAACGATTAACATGTATATTACATTTTTCAAGATTAGAAAAACCTGGTTAAAGGTAGTATTTTGTGAAGGCACAGGATGTCACACACTGAGAGCACACAGTGACTGTGGGATGACATTCTACACTTATCTTTGGCCTTTCCAGTTCAAGTGCCCATAAGCCTCAGGCCATGAGTAGTTATGACCTAAGCAGACTCTTCTGAGTTAGCTGTAAGCTACAAAGTAGCTTAAAAAATTGGCATTATTAAAGATAAAGTTTAAGCCACCGATTGCTTCATAAACTGATAAAGTATAATGTTTGATAATATGAAACAAACCTGCTTCAAACAAACTACAAAGAGTTTATTAGTTTGGAGGATTTGTTTTCTTGGACACTTCTGTGATTTCACAAAATGGATTAAACTGGAATAATGTCGAAGTACAACTCTGAACCAAATACATATATGATCACTTGTCATAAATAACAAATTATCATAAATAAACATTTCTAAATATAATTGATGAATTCAAATTTGTGACACCTGTGTAGTTTTTCCCAGAAGGTAACCCAAAGTGGGTAAATTAAGTTACATAAGTTCTCTTCATTTTCAACAAAATTATATTTTAGGCAGTAAAAGTAAATAACAGATACAATTTTACCCTTAAGAAACTTCAAATCTGCTTAAGAAAACCTGAAAAAAGGCTGAAAATTTGATCAATTATAATTTTTTGTAATGTGGAAAGTCCTACAACTTAGGGAAATATATTAAACTATTTAATAGATTATAAGATTCAAGTTAGGTTTTACGAAAACACTGGGTTTTGAAGGATTACAGTCGCCATCAGCTATAAACTTAACATTGTGGGTAAAAGAGTATAAAGAAAATCCGAGTCATCACTTACACATTAATTAGAACTTCGTTCTTCACCAAACCTTTCGTTAAATGTTAACAAGCAGTTAAATTAACTGATCTAAGTACTTCTGTCAGCTCTGTAAGTAGCAAAAGTGCAAGGGACATTGGAAGAGGACATCAAGTAGAGTAAAATGCAAGCAGCCTGAATAATTCACACATCAGGTAACTGGGTAGTAAACAGCAGCCTTTCCTTTATGCCTCTACTTTTATAAAACTAGCCCTTCTTACCTGGAAGAAGTAGGACTGTAGAGGTTGATCTTTATTTTCTTCATCCACATATAGTCCTCCGACCACATACACCTGATTTTGTTGGGTAACTATGCTAGAATGATTTCGGGGAATCTGTTCAGCAAGCGCAGTGAGGTAGCACTCATTTTCTGTGGGATCATAAGCCACGGCAGCTGTGTCATTCACCAAGAGGATGAGATCTTTGACAAACATTCCATGCCTGGGAATGTCATTCAGGTAACCAGGAAGTAAATCTTCATCACCAACATCACCATTCACCTCCCCAGCCCCAGCCTTCTCTGCATTTTTGCTGGGTTCTGGGAGTTTACCTGCAAAGGCATCTTTGAGAACTTTGATTTTTTTCTGGAGTTCTGGGTTGCTTTTAATTATATCATCTTTCTCAACATGATCTTTAAAATATTTTTCTGTCATAAGGCGAAAACGGATACAATCAAACACTTCACTAAGGTTTTTGACCCTGTTTTCCTTGTCTGTTCGCACCCATTTCATCACCGCCTCAAATACTGCTTCTTCCTTCTCCACATTTAGGCTGTCATTTGAAATGACTGAGATCAGTTCCTGCGGAGATAGTTGCATAAAGTCCTCTTCCTTACAAATCTGTACAAAGCGATCAGACACAAATTCACGGGCAGAGATAGCGAGTCTTGGGCAGTCAAGAAGAAGTCCTAATCTTAAGATGGCTAGACAGTTACCAGGAGCAAGTCTTTTCTGAAGATAAGAAACACAGACAGTGAACACCGAGGGGATCTGAAAGCGGCTGGCCAAGGCAAAGATATCTTGCACGTTTCCATCGTTGAGATCAATACTGGCAGAGTACAGGTACTTGATGATTAAATCCAGCACAGCAGGATCCACATTATCTAATACTACCTCCTTTTTTTTCCCCTCATCAATTTCAGATAAAAAATACTCACGGAAGTAAGGACTACAAGCTGACAAAATCAATCTGTGACAAGGAAGACTTTTGTCACCTGCTTTTAGGGTGCAATCGATGAATTTTTTTTCTTCCAGGAGATCTTTTAGACCATCCTGAAGAAGGGTGGATTGGTAAAGCCGCAGTTCCTCTGTGAGTTCCCGCTGGGAATCCATTTTGTGAGTAACCTGGGTAAGGAAGGGGACACTGAAGGCCTTAGCTCCTCGCAGCACACAGGTCTAGCTGTAAAAAGGCAGATCAGTGTGCTTTGCCCAGCTTGAAGCCTTTGCAATTTAATCCTACCAGCTAAATATAGATACCAACTCTAACAACGGGAATTTAGGAGAGCTAGTTTGGAAAGAAGAGTTGTTCTTGCAGCTGTTATAGATTGAAGGGAACAACTGGAACTTTTAATCACTAAGGAAACAGCTAAGAAACAGATTTAAACGAAGTGGAAAGCTTTAAAATACATAAAGCATTAGAGCATATGCCGATAAAAGCATGTTTAAATAAAATGGTTTATTGAGCTAACAGAAAACTGAATCATAAAAATGAGTCAGTCTGCTAAATATGGTCCAGTGGCAAACTCCCTGGCTGTCTGAATTAATGAAGCAAAGGTCAAGAATATGAGGTGAGTTCATCTGAATACTCATAAGCAAAATCTCTTTTCCAGTAAGTGTTACATACAAATTTTTATTTTCTCTTTAAAACAGTGGGATTTAGAATTTCCTTTTATAAGGAAACTTAAAGACTTCTATTTATGTATTATAATGTTATTTTTTAAAACCTTCAATAATAATACTCCATCATAGCTGAAAAAAATAAATGCAGAGAAACTGCTAATTTTCTAAGACATTCTGAATTATCTTTATTCTCAACTGGAAAAACCCTAATTTGTACTGAATTAAATCATAAAATTATTTAATTTATTCATACCCTGCCTTGCTCTTCAAAGGATCCAATGTGGCAAACAATAATAAATCAAGTAAAATAAAGGCAAAAGGTTAAAAGGAATCATCAAAACCAGATAGAAATAGAAATAGTTAAAAGTCAACACTAGGGAAAGAAAAAACTCAAACAATTTGATTACTAAAGATATTTTAAATGTTAAAAGATAACCTTTTATTAAATAAAAAGTTAAAATACAGCTATAACTCCATGAAAACAATGTCATCAACAGACCACAACAGACTCAGGAAGAAGTGCTTATATCACCTGCATAATTTGGAAAACAAGACTATATAATGAAAAAAAAAGAATATATAACTGAAATCATAATTTAAGTTCTTGATTATAAAAGAACACCATATTGGTTAGGGAATGCAGAAGTCATGATTTGAAAAAAAAAATTGATCCTTTATATGCAGTTGACATTATACGCCTCTTCAGGAACTATTTGATTACAAAATTATATTGTTACATTTTCTGAGCTCAGTGGGGTATAGAAATACTGTATAATTTCAAATTTTGGTATTCATAAAAATGTTCAAAAGAATATAAGCTCCATGAAGACAGGAATTTTTTTCAGTTTGCTTTGTTCAATGCTATAGCCCCAGGGCCTCGTGTGCTCCATAAATATTTGTTGAATGAATAATAAATGTCCCCAGATCAGTGACTTATGTATTTTTAAACTTTAAGATCTCTATCGATGAGTTAAGGTCTTTTATTTTACATAACAGTGAAGTCAAAGGTACTGTCAGCTGCTAAAACAACAGCTGAAAGAAGAGCTCATTGACTGTTTTTTCCATTTATAGATGTCACTAAAGGTTTTAACACACTAGAAAAGACGAACAGCTGCTCCCTTGTTTAAACAATAAATGACTCATTTCTCTCTACAAGTAACAACTAACATTTGAAAAGATTAATGAGTCAGATGCAAACACTATGATATGACATTTAAGAGTCCTTACTAGTAAGCAATTACAAAGTCTGTTTTGCTTGAAAAACTATTTAAATATATTCCTGACAGCATTTTGTGACCTGTATAAATTTTTCAAACAACCTTTCCCCCTTTAATATAGGTTGTTTATTATAACCCATCCTTTAAAAATGTACACATCTTTTCCTTTTTAGGCAAAGAAACCAATGTATAGCTTTTGTTCACTGATTTTTATTAAACTCAGGCTGGCACTTGGTTGTAATATGTGTTTATGCTTGTAACATACCGCTGCATCTCATTCTAAATGTTTCTGAACCACTCACTCCTTTACCTCTAGAGAAAGAGGGCTCCTTCAGCTAATTTCAATGATTTGACAAAGGTTCCTTACAATGTTTCTTTATACCCAAGCAGCGACAAACAACACTGATGGCAGAGAAGTTGCCAAATCTTAGCTAACGAAGAAATCAGAGAATACTCTATTTTTGAAAACTTCAAAGAAGTTTCAATGAGTACAAACAAGGAGAAAGTCAATAAATGAATTATTTATTTACAAACTAAAAGTATTTCCTTACAAAATAAATGTGTTCTTGTCAAATGTATACTGAAATAACTTATAAAATAGTGCCCAAAGCATTACATAAGGGTTGATACACTTTTGATACACTTCAGAAGTAACTATAATTTTTAGGTTTTACAGAAATGGTCACCTCAGCATGACAAGTTTAAAGGTCATAATTTATATCAGAGTTGGCTTACATTTGGAGCTTTTTGATAACTTATTTAAACCAGATTTTCATAATTAAAAAAGCATTATTTTGATAACTCCATAAAAATCATCTTATTCTTTTAAATAATGCTTTCAAAACATTAAATGGTGCTACATAAGTTCTTTATTAACCCAAAATGATACAGTCATTTAATATCTGCAGACTAATAATTTACAAGCATTAGGTACAAAATAAACATATTTACAAACCAGATACATTTTGATTACAATTTTAAATATAATTTTTAGAAAAGAGGCAACGAAATCTTAGACAAATGAGTTTTTCCTTAATCATTAAAAAAAAACCTTTCTTAAAAAGGTTTTTCTGTAAATGTAAAAACTATTCCGTGCTTTATAGCAGGCAACTAGTATCTTTAATCTTGAGATATCTTTAAATAGAAATCCAGCTCAACTCAAGATCAACTCATCACTTCCCAAAGTCCCTGTAGGGTGAATCCATCCTTCAATTTCTCTATTGCAAGCCCCAGTTCTTCTGAAAATACAGGTTCACGATCTTGTTGCTTTTTGTGAGATAAGAGGATGACATGGGAATAGAGAAGGAAGGTGGGCAAGGAAGAGGAAAAAAACAAAAAATAGGATTCACATAAGTTTTGTGAATACTAAACACTGGAATATAGAAATTTTTTTTTTCATACACTATAGGTAAAATGTCCTTACCTTATTGCCATCAGCAAAATAAGCCTAAAACAAAGAAAATTATATTTCACATACTCAACATGTAATAGGTTAGTGGACTAAGAAACAGGCAATTAATTTAAAAAACAACTGTGTAACTAAATATATTTCACATTCTGTTACTATGTGTTACTACGTGTCTAATGGTCTTCTCATCTATCTTTACTATGCTAGTGGCAGATTTCACTTGTCAATCATTAGTAATGACTATAAGCTTTAAGCTCCAAAAAATGTGCTTTGTAATTAGTATATAATTAGCATTGTTAACTTCAAAGGGGATAAAAAGAATGATTTAAAAGCTATAAAATTTCATCCCTACTTTTGGTTTAGAAGATGCTGGCAAAAACAAAACAAAGTAATCAGTGCTTCAATGTATCAGCAAATGCTTACATATGAGGTAGTAGTAGTAGTGTATAATTAAATATTTTACACGAATTTCACACTTGTTTAAAATTATTTATTCCCAGAGAGGTATGCCAGTCAGATTTATACACCACAATATATAGAAAGCATTATTATTATTCTGGCCATTAAAGCTAAATAATATAAATTTGGAAATGGGAAAGTTCAGTGTTCAAATATCCTTTTAAAGATAATAGACCAATAAGTTGAAGGGAAGCCCATCTCATAAAGATGAATTATGAAAAGTATAGATGTTTAAACTAATTTAATTAACTACTTAACATGTTCTATTTTTCTGAGGTATGGAAAATCTTTCACAGATCTGCAATCCTCTAAATAAATGTGTTCTCAAACTATTTCCCAGTTTGGTAATTTAAAAGCAGTTTCACTCAAAGAAAAAGTCCCTAACTTAAAAAAAGATTACTTTCCAACTCATGTTTAAGATAACTCTCAAATATCTCAAGATCTATGGTGTTTTACATACTTAAGCCATTAGTTAAACATGACTCAGATTTTAAAAATCACAAGATTTTTAGTAGCTCTTCTTCATCATGCTCACCACAAAAGCGTCTGTGTGATCATCAGAGTCTATTTCTACATCATCTTGAATCTGTTCAACTGTCAGAGCTTCAAGGGGCTGTGGCTAAAAATCAGCAGATGTTAAAATGCATCAGAGATAATATTAAACAAATACTCTTAGTAAAATGTGCTGTGAGAATCATAAATATTTGTAAAGGGATAAAACAACTGCTAACTACTCAAGTCTTAGGAAAATCACTGCATAGTTTATATTGTTTATTTGTGTGTGTATGTGAGAGCGAGAGAGGGAGAGAGAGAGAGAAAGAGAGAGAGAGTGATAGAGAGAGAGAGAAACAGGGGAGAGAGCAGGGGAGGGGCAAAGAAAGAGGAAGACAGAAAATCCTAAACTGCTCTGCACTGCCTGCAGAGCCTGAAGCAGGGCTTAAACTCATGAGCCGTGAGATCGTGATCTGAGCCGAAATCAAGAGTGAGACGCTTAACCAACTGAGTCACCCAGGTACACCGTGATTTATATTCTATTTAAATTACCTTGAGTAATAAATCAGTTAAACTTTAAGGTTTTAAATATGAAGTCAGAATCATCAAAAATAATAAAATGACAAATTTATACATACTTACTATGATACTTCGAGATATCCTTAAAGAAAAACACTCTCATTGGACTTTATCTGATTTTCTTTCACATAGTCTTAAAAAAAACTACGTTTGGAAAACAGCAAATTTTCAATTTTCCTCAAAACTGAAATGGTCATTAAATAGAATTTGTGAAAAGTAAAAGAACTATGATTTGCATGGACTATTCTAATGGTAAAGCAGAATAAAATATGGGCTGATATTCACTTTTCAAGTATTTTAGTATCTTTGGTGTATTAGGCACTATGCTAGCACTATCA